CTATTTTTTAAAAAGATTTTATTTATTTGAGAGAGAGAGTATGAGAGGGGGGAGGGTCAGAGGGAGAAGCAGACTCCCCGCTGAGCAGGGAGCCTGATGCGGGACTTGATCCTGGGACTCCAGGATCATCACATGAGCCGAGGTAGTCGCTTAACCAACTGGGCCATCCAGGCACCCTAAATAAATCTATTTTAAAAAAACTAGAGAGGTAAGAAGAGAGGGAATTGGCCATGCAAGTAGCTCAAGGAATAACATTCCAAACAAAAGGAAGAAAAGGCCCCAGGATGGAATAATTCCTAGCATTTTAAGGAGTTACCAAGATTCTTAAATAACTTTCATTTTTTTTCTTTCATCCAGTGCTTTTTGAGTTACTGTTCATCTATTAACTAGTTGAAGTCTGGAATCTGCTCACTAAAGCACAAAATCAGCAGGAAAGGTTATTACTCTGGCCACGTACCATGAAGCACTGGGGAGGGTTTTTTTGTGTTTTTTTTTGTTGTTGTTGTTGTTTTAAGGCAAAAAAAAAATTACTGGCCTGGCGGGCGCCTGGGTGGCTCAGTCGTTAAGCGTCTGCCTTCGGCTCAGGTCATGATCCCAGGGTCCTGGGATCGAGTCCCGCATCGGGCTCCCTGGGGCAGGAAGCCTGCTTCTCCCTCTCCCGCTCCCCCTGCTTGTGTTCTTGCTCTCGCTATCTCTCTGTCAAATAAATAAATACAATCTTTAAAAAAAAAAAAAAAATTACTGGCCTGGCTCTCAAGTATACTGAGACGGACAAACACGTGATTTTTTTTTTTTTTTAAGATTTTATTCATTTATCTGAGAGAGAGCGAGCACGAGCACAAGCAGGGGGAGTGGGAGAGGGAGAAACAGGCTCGATCCAGGGACCCTGGGATCATGACCTGAGCCGAAGGCAGATGTTTAACCCACAGAGCCACCAGGCGCCCTGACCAACACATGATTTAAGTTCACTGTTAGAATTATGATGCGAGTGTGCATAAGGTACTTACAGGAGTATTAATTCAGATTGGGGAAACCTTCATGCTGAATTTCAAAAGATAGTTTCCCTAGATAGAAAAGTAGTATGTTAGGGGGCGCCTGGGTGGCCAGTCAGTTAAGCGTCTGACTCATGATTTCAGCTCAGGTGTTGATCTCAGGGTAGTGGGATCAGGCTCCACACTGGGCTTGGAGTCTGCTTGAGATTCTCTCTCTCCCCCTCTCCCTTTGCCCCTCCCCACTCCCCGTCTCAAAAAAAAAAAAAAGAAAAAGAAAAAAAAAGTAGTATGTTAGAATTCTAGGCAAAGACATACAGGAAGCAATGGAGCTATGGAAAGTATTCAGTGTCTCTAAAGCTAAATTGGAAGGTAGATTACTTTATACAAAACAGCATTCCCACAGTAATTAATGCTGCTGCTTTTGCACGTTATAAATAGAAAAGACAGTTTAAAATGCCAGATACTAAAGATACAGTCTTTACCTGTTCTTTCAGATATTCCTCTCATGGGATAAAATTAGTGGTAGGCCAAAATAATCACTAGGTTTCTTTTCAGTAGTTTCTTTTGCATGTTGTATAGCTGTTTGCTAGTCTTAGCTAGCATTAATAGCACCCGTAGTCCAACCTTTCTGCAAAGTTTGACGTACTAATAGAAAGCAGATGGTTTGTTTTTATATTGTTTCAGTTTGGGATTAACTAACATGGTTATTTAAAAATCTGTTTTTGTCTGTTGGTATTGTTTTCTCTATAGATGCTGAAGTACCCTTTCCCAGTCCGAGTAGGAGCCAGCAGAATAGAAACACTTTCTCTCAAGACATGTCACCAGTAGAACTTTCCCCCTTTGTTTCCAAGGCCTTGGTTTTTCTCTTCATTACTAGTGTACATGAGGAAGACACAATACTATCATACTTCCCCATGCAGCTTTAAGAAGCAGAAGCAAGAAATACTTCCAGCCAAGCCAGCAAGCACCATCACTTACCTGCTTGATAGCCCAAAGCCAGCATTATACATAACTCTGGCAGGACTAATCCCCTTTGTTGCTCCACCACTGGTCATGGTGATGACAAAGGCTTATATCCCCTTATTAGCTTTTACTCAGATGGCTTATGGAGCCAGCTTCCTATCTTTCTTGGGAGGGATCAGATGGGGTTTTGCTCTGCCAGAAGGTAGTACAGCTAAACCAGACTTCCTCAATTTAGCTAATAGTACAGCTTCTGTTGTGTTTTCATGGTTTGCTTTCCTTATTTCTGAAAGACTCAGTGAAGCTATAGTCACAGTAATAATAGGTTTGGGGATAGCATTACACATTGAACTTTTTCTCTTGCCACATTATCCCAATTGGTTCAAAGCCCTTAAGATAGTAGTCACTTTAGTGGCCTTGTTTTCATTTATAATCACATTATTAGTTAAAGATATTTATCCAGAGAAAGGACCCAAGAGACCTGGTCAAGTAGAATAAATACAAAACTACTCTCTAGGTGACGTTAGCATGTTGGCTATAAGCCTTGGAAGGCTGTATTTTGGCATCACTTTTTTATACTTCTCCTGTTTAACAGCTTTTTTCCTCCATCAACGTTTATTTCTTCTTCACAGATTTTTTTTCATTTCTTTATTTCATAGGAATTACCTGACAATAGTTTGAAAATCCCTAACAAGTCATTTTCACTTTAGATTACAGTTTTTAGTCTTTATGAATTATACATTTTAATGTTTTACTTGTTTTGAAGAATGTAAAATAATAAAAATGGAAATCCTTTTTGTTAGAGCCTTATGATCATTGGAAAAAGACAGGCACATTCTCCCACAAGAGGAAAACTTTGTATCCATTAGTGTCTGAAAATAATAGGTGGTTCCAATGTGGAGTTTTCATTGCAGTTGCCCTGGGAATTGCATTTCCAAGCTCATTTCATCTGGTATAATCTAGTTATATGAGCTGGAAGGATCTGTGGCTCTAAAGTCAGTAGGGAGCAGTGTCATGAGGGGAAGCCATGTTCAAAGAAAAGCTGAACATACTTTCCAGTTTTTATAGACACAACTCCATCTCCACAGAACACCAACTAGTCAAAAAAATTTTTAAAGAATAAAGTCACTAGTATGTATAAATTAGGAAAAGTCAAGCTGGAGCCATCTTGATGTTCTTACAAGTGAGGCTATCTAGTTTTACACATTAACTCAAAGAGAAGCTTTTTTTTTGGTAAAGATTTTACTTATTCATTTGAGACACAGAGATAGAGAGAGAGAGCGAGCACATGAGGAAGGGGAGAGGCAGAGGGAGAGGGAGAAACAGGCTCCCCACTGAGCCAGGGCCCCGATGTGGGGCTCGATTCCAGGACCCTGGGATCATGACCTGATCCAAAGGCAGATGCTTAACCATCTGGGCCACCCAGGTGCCCCCAGAGAAGCTTTTTTAAAACAAGCAAAAGCAACACCTTAGACTCTAACTTGAAAACTTCGTCTCTTGAGATTCTTAGTCTTATAGAAAAGGAAAAAAACATTTTAAATGGCATAAGAATATAAATCAGTAAATGGTATCACCTGATATATATTATCTTTGTATAATACAGGTATTCAAATATCAGTTAACTTGAATTTCATAAGCTGAATTGTGTGTTGAAGTCCTTGTCCCAGTATCTCAGAATGTGACCTTATTTGAAGACAGGTCTTTACAGAGGTTATAGTGCTAAAATGAGATCCTAAGGGTAGGCTGCAATGTAATATTACTGGTATTCTTATAACAAGGGAAATTAGAGATAAACATGCATACAGGGAAAATGCCACGTATACATGAAAGTAGCCATCTACATTCCAAGGAGAGAAGCCTGGAATAGGTGCCTTCCTTTTAGCACTCAGAAGGAACCAACTACCAACACCTTGATTTTAGACTTCCAGCTTCCAAAACTATGAGACGATAAATTCCATTTAAATTTCTGTGGTACTTTGTTACAGCAGCCCTAGCAAACAAGCACACCACCACAGAGCTAGACCTTGTTCTGAGCATTAAGAAGCTTACCAATGAAAGCCCATAGCTGAAACCACCATACAATCCTTCTTTATGAATGCAAAGAATAGTTTACTAGAGCCTGATATTGAAGGAAGAAAAGCTTATCCTCTTCAGAAGATCTTTCCCAATTCTACTCATAGTGTTTTGGTGAGGAAACGTCTTTGCTTCTAAACTGCATGAGGACTACACAAAGTTAAAACTTCTCTTATCTCAAATTCATCATCTTTCAGAATAGGGGCAACTAGGGGCGCCTGGGTGGCTCAGTCGTTAAGTGTCTGCCTTTGGCTCAGGTCATGATCCCAGGGTCCTGGGATTGAGTCCCGCACTGGGCTCCCTGCTCCGCGGGAAGCCTGCTTCTCCCTCTCCCTCTGCTGCTCCCCCTGCTTGTGTTCCCTCTCTCGCTGTCTCTCTGTCAAATAAATAAAATCTTTAAAAAAAAAAAAAAAAGAATGGGGCAAATAACTTTTAAGCTACTTGCCCAATTTCACTACACAAATGCAGGTAAATGCACTTTGTAAGTTAATTACAGTGTATGATTCTTTTAAAAAAAAACTGATTTTAAAGTACATCTGCCCAGGGGCTCCTGGGTGGCTCAGTCGTTAAGCATCTGCCTTCGGCTCAGGTCATGATCCCAGAGTCCTGGGATCGAGCCCCACATTGGGCTCCCTGCTCCACAGGAAGCCTGCTTCTCCCTCTCCCATTCCCCCTGCTTGTGTTCCCCCTCTCGCTACCTCTCTCTCTGTTGCAAAATAAATAAAATCTTTTAAAAAAAAAAGTACATCTGCCTTTTAAGTCCATTGGACAGGACGTTTAGAACTATATTAGATTGTCAAATATTTTGGAGGAAGATCACATTAATAGCCGCTCAGGAAACAGATTTAAATGTAAGAACTAAATGTGCAGGTCCCTAAAGTAAAAACAAAACAGTAAAAAAACTTGGGCAATCCTATTACAGTTGGGTAATCTAGGAACACTGCTAATAAACTAAGTTAATGAGTAATACAAGAATAAGCAAAAATCAACATACTTTATTAGTACATTATTTTTAAGACCATGTCATTACCTAGAAGATAATATAATAATATGCATTTTTATAATTATCTATTTACAGGGATTGTCTAGATCCATTAAGCCCAAACACAGATTGTCTTGAATGTTTCTGCCACAGCAGTACAAAATGCCTCCCTTCACAGTGCCAATTCAGGTTGGCACCAGGCAATAATGAGAATTAAATTATAGGAGTATTTTGTAAATCTCTTTTGAACCAGAATGCAGATTCTCTGTAGAGAAATATTAAAGGCACATGGAGTTTAAATAATCTACAAATTATGTCATTCCTTGACATATTATAGATCTCACCAGTCACCTATGACCCTTTAGACTTTTAGGATACCCCAAAGGAGACACAGAGCTTTCTATCTATACTATATAAGCTTTTCTTAATACATGCATATGGTTAAGTTATGAAACAAAGTATCCTTGTGGGCCAATGCAAATATTTTAGATATGAGGGCTACCTGAGTCTTTAATGCTTACCGACAAAGATTTTCTATCTAAATAAGCTGCTGATACACTGTAATAATACACTGAAGGACTTTAAGAAAGAAAAGGGAGAAATTGGGTGCCTTGCTGGCTCTTGATCTCAGGGTTGAGTTCAAGCCCTACACTGGGTGTAGAGATTGTTTAAAGTCTTAAAAAAAAAAAAAAAAAAGGAAAAGGGGAAATCAGGAATATACAAATCAAATCCTGGAATCATTAGATAAACCTAAATGTATGTAAGACCTTTAATATATGTATGGCTCCAAGCAACTGGTAGAAATAACTAAAAGTGATCAGGTACACAAAGAATGTTCCTCTCAGAACCAGACAGAGAACAATTCTTTAGAATGTTTCTTGGGCAGGGGGGTAGGGGGCCTGGGTGGCTCAGTCGTTAAGCGTCTGCCTTTGGCTCAGGTTATGATCCCAGCGTCCTGGGATCGAGCCCCACATCGGGCTCCCTGCTCGGCGGGAAGCCTGCTTCTCCCTCTCCCACTCCCCTTGCTTGTGTTCCCTCTCTCGCTGTCTCTCTCTGTCAAATTAATAAAATCTTAAGAAAAAAAAAGTTTCTCGGGAAAAATGAAAAGTTCTGAGAAGCAGTTTTGGATCAGAGGACTTTCACCTTAACACTTTTGTCAATGTCTATAAAAAGCTTCATAGGTACCTACAATTCCACCTTCTCCAAACCAGACAGTAGGCTTTGTACTAAGTTCATACTTAGGATTGCCCAAGTACAAGTAAGCTTCACAAAGCTTGATAGTCTAATAAAATTCCCTCTTCCCAAAGCCAAGCAGATATTTTTGATAACTATTTAGAAAATAGGAAAGAAACTTAAGAGGTACATATCTCTCACTGGGCTCTGTCATCCATTGTATCATCCAATTGCACTAAAGGACTGTCACTAAGAACCTCCAGTAATTCCTCACTTGCATTTTCAGCATTAAGACAAAAAATGTAAGAGAGCAAAAGCTTTTTTAATCCTGTTATCAACAGGCAAAAACTTATCTATCTATATAAACATCTATAGAGATAGCTAGATATTTCCCACATGTCCCTCCCAGTGTACCTGCTGCCAATAAGAAGTTTGGGGCTAGTGAAAACTCCTGGCAACAAATAAAAGTAGGGAGTTGTTTCACTGGCTTTCTCTGTAGGTTCAACTGTGGCCATGGAAAATTGCGCCGTAGACTGAATCATGAATGTACAGACATCTTTAAACTGTCTCATTGATATTCTTACATCACATAAGGGTCGTGTTACAGCTTGGCTGACACTGGAGAAGCAGCTAATGGGGCTATTTGCCAAGAAGCTTCTAGCAAATCATTTTTACAAATAGGACTCTACCCCCAAGAGGAGAATTCCAGAGCATAAACAGCATTCCTATTGGTAAGCTTGGCAAATTTGTGTGAGTTCTTTATTAATTTAGGATATATTCCATATCTCTCCCTACACAAATTCTTAGAAAAATCATTCTTTAGTCATTTATCTACCAAATATATGGAAAACTCAATAGAATCAGAGGATCCTATCACCAAATACATGTGTGATTTACAGAGTCAGATCCTATATTTTCAAAATGTTTCTTGTGCTCCCTTATGGTTTATATTTCATAGTACAGCAACACCTCCTTCACAACGACTGGTGATCATGTTACCAATTTCTGTCCATGTATCTGAATGAGGGTTATAAACTTCAACTGAGTCCAAGGTACCTGGAGCCAAGAAATCATGGCTGGAAGATCGACCTCCAGAAACATACAGAAGCCCATTGACTGCCACAACACACATGCCTGCTCTAGGCACTTTCATTGAGGCAACTTCAACCCACTTTTCCTGGTTAAGAGGGGGGGAAAAAAAAAAGTTAGCAGAATCATAAAATGACAATAGAGAAAACTGCTGAGAAATTAAATACTCTAGCTCTTTTTACATATTTAAATTTCAAACTGAGAGTCCAGTCATATAAATATATATAGGACATTTTCAAGGGAATGTTTGAGCAGGTATAGACAAAGTAGCGAATTTAGAGGAAAACAATTGAAAAACATGTCTGTGATTAACTATAAATCATGATCAGGAGATAATCTAGAAAACCTATATAGGAAGGCATTCTGTGAAACTGTTCTATGGAATACACATAGGTAATGCAACAACACAAACCCACAAAGCTCCAAGGAGAAAAAAGCTTATACACAGAAGGGCTTTTAAAAGGCTTTAATATGCTAATGACCCTTATAAATCTCCAAGAGAATGATATGCTATCACACTTGCCAAGTTATTGACCATGGAATCCTTTTTTTCAAAGACCATCCAGTGGAATCAATAATTTGCGAAACATATTTTCAGAAAGGTAGTATAGACCAGGAGTTGGAAACCTATTTTTGTAAGAATGATCTTTCCAGGTTAAGAGGTTATTTTATAAAACAAGAATATTTCCACAAATGGTGTTGGGAAAACTGGACAGCTACATGCAAAAGAATGAAACTGGACCACTTTCTTACACCATATACAAAAATAAGCTAAAAATGGATAAGGATCTAAATGTGAGACCTGATATAAAAATCCTAGAAGAGAGTACAGGCAGCAATTTCTCTGACATTGGTTGTAGCAACATTTTCCTAGATATGTCTCCTGAGGCAAGAAAAAAATAAAAGCAAAAATAAACTTGGGATTACATCAAAATAAAAAGCTTCTTTCTGCACAGCAAAGAAAACAATCAACAAAACTAAAAGATAACCTACTGATTGGGAGAAGATATTTGCAAATGACATATCTGATAAAAGGGTTGGTATCCAAAATATATAAAGTACTGACTGTTACAATTCAATACCAAAATAATCATAATTTATCATCACCCAATTAAAAAATGGGTAGAAGACATGAACAGACATTTCTTAAAGGAAATCTGAAATTACAGAATCTATGACAAGTTGGCACAGCTGAAAAAACTCATATTTTACTTATTTATTTATTTGGAGAGAGAGCGAGCACACGAGCAGGGGGAGGGGCAGAGGGAGAGAGAGAATCCCAAGCAGGCTCCATGCCCAGCACGCTGCCCAACACAGGGCTAGATCTCATGACCCTGATATCATGACCTGAGCTGAAATCAAGAGTCAGACACTTAACTGAGCCACCCAGGTGCCCCCAAAATACTCATATTTTAAAAGACAGAGATATTCACAAAAATACCTATAGCTGGTTTAATCTTAAAAAAAAGAAGAAGAAGAAGAAGAAGATGTGGTACAAGATGAAATTAGAGAGGGAGACAAACCATAAGAGACTCTTAAGCATAGGAAACAAACTGAGGGTTGCTGGAGGGGAGATGGGTACAGGATTGGGTAACTGGGTGATGGACATTAAGGAGGGCATGTGATATAATGGGCACTGGGTATTATATAAGACTGATGAATCACTGATCTCTACCTTTGAAACCAATAATACATTGTATGTTAATTGAATTTAAATAAAAATAAATAAATTTAAAAATAAACCAAAAAAAAAGAAAATCCATGTAAAACTTTTGACTCCCCAAAAACTTGACTACTAATAGCCTACTGGGATTTTTTTGTTTTGTTTGCTTTTTTTTTTTTTTAGAGACGGGGAGAAAGGGAGAGAAGGGCAGAGGGAGAGAGAGAATCTTAAGCAGGCTCCACACCTAGTGTGGAGCCTGATGTGGGGCTCAATCTCACACCCTGGAGATCATGACCTGAACCAAAATCAAGAGTTGGATGCGTACCTGAATGAGTCACCCAGGCACTCCATTAATATCCCATTGTTGACCAAAAAGCCTTACCTATAACATAGTCAATTAACACATATTTTGTGTATGTATTATGTACTATATTCTTACAATAAAGTAAGCTACAGAAAAGAAAATGTTATTAAGAAAATCATAAGGAAGAGAAGATACATTTACAGTGCTATACTGTATTTATTGAAAAAAAATCCATGTATAAGTGGACCCACACAGTTCAAAACATGTTGTTCAAGGGTGAACTATAGGGAGAATACTAGGAGCCAAGTTTTTAACTAACGGAGAAAGTATTTACAAACATGGAAATGGGGAAAGCCTGAAAGAATCTGAGATACTGCACTGGAATTTGAGTTATCATTATAAACTCGTGGTTTTATAACATATAAGACTTACAATGTTAAGAAATACTTACAAATGAATATGTATGTGAATACATACATGTATATAGGTACAAGTATTCCTAGCTCTGTTTACTGAGAGTGCCTAGAAGCAGCAATATTCCAGTAGCCATGGGTAGGCTGAGTGCCTAGACCTTGGTTTCTAAATACTATCCTTCACTAGGAGGAAGTGGAGCTTCTTAGAGAAATGGCTGATTTCAGGGCTAGAGCAGAGAAAGTAAAAAATGAGCTTGAAATATTTTATTATGCTAAAAAGTAAAGACATGCTCAATGAATGATGGTAGCATGTCAAAATGACCTAGAAAAGTAGACAAAACCTAAGAAACAAAAGTTCCCAGACAACAGTGAAAAACTATGATCACTCAGAAATAGAAACAAAGAAGGTGAGCTTCATGGTTGTCTAGGCTTTCTGTCTGGTGGGGCTTTCTGAACACCACAGGGAAGGGAATTCCCAAGCACAGCATGACAGTAATCTGATTTAGGAGACAGAGATCAGAGTTTAGAGAGGTTGAAGCAGCCAAGATTTGCAAGCAAGACCGCCAAAGATCCCCTTGTGTCTTTAGCTGAATGCCACTAATCTGTGCAATGCATAAAGTAAAACTCCATGAGAAACAGGCAAAGAACAACTCATAGGAGGATATGATATAACAAGAAGTATACATTTGGCCTCTGGCCCCAGTTCCTGACACAGAACTCCTAAATCCCTAGGAATTCCCTGGATGATAGAAGTGTCTTTTGTCCTAATGAGGCAACTCTTGGTGGACTCCTTAAATAGCTTCAGAAATGGGGGCTGGTTACCAGAAAGACCAAGCCAGAATTAGAAGCTTGGAACTTTTAGCCCCACCCCCTATCATTTGGGGAGGGGAGAAGGGTTGGGGGTTGAATTAATAATCAATTATGCCTACATGTTGAAGCCTCCATAAAATCTCTATACTATGGTGTTCAGAGAGCTTCCAAGTTGGTGAACACATCCATGTGTCAGGAGGGTGTCACACCCCAAATTCTACAGACACTCCTACATTCAAGACCCTTCTGGACCCTGCTCTACATACTTCTTTATCTGGTTATCCATTTGTATCCTTTATAATAGACCACTAATAGTACATACAGTGTTTCCCTGAGTTCTGTAAGCCATTAGAACAAATTATTGAACCTGAGGAAAGGATTATGGGAACCCCCAATTTGTAGCCAAGTCAGAGAAGTGTAAATAAGTCAGTGGTCAACCTGAGGACCCACTACTTGAAACTGGTATGTAAAGTGAGGGGCAATCTTTTTAAACTGACCTCCTGGGGCGCCTGGGTGGCTCAGTCGTTAAGCGTCTGCCTTCAGCTCAAGTCATGATCCCAGCCCCGCATCAGGCTCCCTGCTCAGCCAGGAGCCTGCTTCTCCCTCTTCCACTCCCCCTGCTTGTGTTCCCTCTCTCACTGTCTCTCTCTGTGTCAAATAAATAAATAAAATATTTTTTTTTAAAAAAAGAGAGAAACTGAGCTCTTAACCTGTGGGGTTGTTAGGGTCAGAAATGAATTGACTTGAGGGTACCTAGTTAGTGACCATAGAGAACTGGAAAACAGCTCAGTATGGAAAACCCACACATTTGGTGTCAAAAGTATTGTGCCTAGAGAAACTGTTTTCCATTATAGGAGTTGTAAGCTGAACAATACCCAGAGCTCACGCAGAGCTGGATGACATTCTAGTTTTGACTATCCAAAATAAAGACACCTTGCTGAACAGCTAGGACATTCAGTAGAGACTCAAGAAGGGTCATTCTTTATTTAGTAGGAGACCTAAAGGAAAGACTACTCTCTACTACTCTTCCCTACAAAGCTTAAGAATATGTCTCAAAAGAATCAGTCTGATTTGCAAATAATTTAGCTGCTTACCAAAAGTAAACTCAATACTTCCTAAAAGAAGAAAATAAAATCCAAACACTCGGCAAAATAACATTCACAGTGTCCACCATCCAATCAGAAGTTACTAGAAATGTGGAAAAGCAGGAAGAAGGTGACTCAAACAGGAAGAAAAAGTTCAACAGATACAGGTCCAAAAGTGATGGTGATAATGAAATCAGCAGACAAGGACTTAAAAACAGATATATAAATATGTTCAAGGATCTAAAGGAAAACATGAACATGATGAGAGAAATGGAAGACATTAAAAACAACAACCAAAAAAGATCTTTTAGAGCTAAAAAATATAATATCTGAAGTGAAAAATTCCCTAAATGTAATTAGACACTGCAAACTGGAAGTGAGACAATGTTGATTAATGAACTTGAAAACACAGCAAGAAAACCATCCAAATTGAAGCACAGTGAACAGAATTTCAGTTTGGCAGGATGAGTAAGTTCTAGAGATCTAATATACAACACGGTAACTATAATTCCTAATACTATATCGTATACCTGAAATTTGGTAAGAAAGCAACTCTCACCACACACGAAAAAAGGAAAAGAGAATCTGAAACTAACACAATACCGTATGTTTAACTACACTGGAATTTTTTTAAAAATTAGAATGGCTAATAAAGACTTCAGTTAAATGGGAAAAAAAGGAAAAGGAAACTATAAGGTGATGAATATGTTAATTAGCTTGATTTGGTAATTATTTCACAATATATATCAAAACATCACATTATACACCTTAAATCTACACAATTTTTATTAAGTATATCTCAATGAAGCTGTAAAACAAAAATGAACTGAAGCACAGAGAGAAAAAAAAATTAACAGAGCCTCAGTGCCCTGTGGGACAATATTAAAGTGGTCTTACATGCATGTTATTGGAGTCTCAGAAAAAGAGCAGGAGAATATCTGAGGAAATATGGCTGAAAACATTTACTCTGATGGAAGCTATAATCCCACAGATTCAAGGAGTTCAATGAATTCTAAACAGGTTAAGCACAAAACTCCAAAAAGACACACCATAATCAAATTACTGGAAACCCATGATAAAGAGAAAACTGTAAAAGCCTCCAAAGGAAAAAAGACACATTACATACAAGGGAACAAGGATAAGAATGACTACTGACTTCCCATCAGAAATAGTGCAATAAGGGATGCCTGGGTGGCTCAGTTGGTTAAGCTTCTGCCTTCAGCTCAGGTCATGATCCCAGGGTCCTGGGATCGAGTCCTGCATCAGGCTCCCTGCTCAGTGGGGAGTCTGCTTCTCCCTCTGCTGCTCCCCCTGCTTATGTTCTCTGTCTCTCTCTCTCTCTGACAAATAAATAAAATATTAAAAAAAAAAAAAAGAAAGAAAATGAACACTAAGAGAATAAATGCCAGCAGACCAGCACTTAAAAAAAATACTAAAGGAAGTTCTTCATGCTAAGAGAAAATGTTATGAGACAGAAACTTAGTTCTACACAAAAGAATAGAACTGGGAATGATTCGGACGCCTGGGTGGCTCAGTTGGTTAAGCATCTGCCTTCAGCTCCCGGGGTTCTGGGTTTGAGTCCTGCATCGGGCTCCCTGCTCAGCGGGGAGCCTGCTTCTCCCTCTGTTTGCTGCTCTCCCTGCTTGTGCACTCTCTTGTTGTCTCTGACAAATAAATAAATACAAATAAAATCTTAAAAAAAAAAAAGAACTAGGAATTAGGAATGATTAATATAGGCATAATTATAAAAGACTTGAACATTAAAATTTTATTTTAGGGGCGCTTGGGTGGCTCAGTCGTTGAGCGTCTGCCTTCGGCTCAGGTCATGATCCCGGAGTCCTGGGATAGAGCCCCGCATCGGGCTCCCTGCTCCGCGGGAAGCCTGCTTCTCCCTCTCCCCCTGCTTGTGTTCCCTCTCTTGCTGTGTCTCTCTCTGTCAAATAAATAAATAAAATCTTTAAAAAATAAAAATAATAAAATTTTTAAAAATTTATTTTAAATATAACTGACTGTTGGGGTGCCTGGGTGGCTCAGTCAGGTGAGCGTCTGCCTTCGGCTCAGGCCATGATCCCAGGTCCTGAGATCAAGCCCTGCATCAGGCTCCCTACTCATTGGGGAGCCTGCTTCTCCCTCTGCCACTCCCCCTGCTTGTACTCTCTTTCTCACTCACTCTCTCTAATAAATAAATAAATAATCTTAAAACTTAAAAAAAAGAGAGCTAAAAATAAATAAATAAAAATGGTTTAAAATTAAAAAAAGAAAAAGAACAAGAAAGTGAAGTAATATGATATTATTCGAAGGTCACCTTGATACAGTAATACGTATAGCATAAATATATATAATACATAATGTAAACCCTACAGTAACCACTAAAAGGTGAAGTGTTATAGTTAATTGGATAATAAAAGAGATAAAATGGAATACTAAAACAATCAACATAAAGACAGAAAAGAGGGGGAAAATGATCAAAGAATGAATTGTACAAATAGAAAAACTGCAAAACAGGAGTCTAAAAACCAACCATATCTGTAATTACATTACATATAAATAGTAAAAACTCTAAAGACTCCATTTGAAAGTTGGAGATTGTCAAACGATAAAAAAAGAGACTACAACTGTATGTTATCTTACAAGAGATGCAGCTTATAAAGATGTAGATAGATTTAAAGTGGAAGGGAAGAAAAAGATGTACCAGGCAAATAATAATCAAAAGATAGCTTGGCTACATCAGTGGCTATATTAATATCAGACAAAATAGACTTAGGAACAAAGAATATTACCAAAGATAAAGACAAGTATTCCATGACTATGAAAAGGACCAAATTCATCAAGAAGACAATAATCTTAACCTGTACATACTTAATAACAGAGATTCAAAATATGCACAGGGAAGGAAAAATTCTTCCTTTACTCTTAAGGCCTTCCAGCTGGACTAAGAATTAAATTTACATCAGACAGATTAACAAGAGAAAAAAAAGTTTTATTACTTGCACACAGAGGCCCAATAATGTAATTGAGACCTAAAGAAGTGACCACGGTGGTTTTTATACAGAGACAATAAATCTGTGGGGAACTGACAGGACAAAGTAAAATTAAAAGTAAAATTAACTTTAGGAGCTTTAATTAGTAAGGAATTCTAAAGAGAATTTGGGCTCTGATAATAAATTAGTAAAAAAGTAACAAGGGTTGTTTATACATTCTTCTTGGCTCTAAATTTCCCATCTGGGTGATACAGATGCCTTTTTAAACCTCCTGGTACAAGGAGAGTATCTTTCAAATAAGAGATTTATTTCCTGCTTTTAGGGGGACAGAGGAGAGTCAGAAAGTCCTTCTTGCATAGCCTGTCTCTTAAGTAACTTTTATTTAAAATAATCAATATGCCAAGGGCGCATGGGTGGCTCAGTCAGTTAAGCATCTGACTCTTGGTTTCAGCTTGGGTCATGATCTCAGGTTCCTGCGATTGAACCCTGTGGCAGGCTCCTGGGTCAGAGGGGAGTCGGCTTCTCTCCCTCTCCCACTGTCCCTCCCCCTGCTCAAGTTCTTTCTCTCAAATAAATAAATAAATCTTTAATAAAATAATAAAATAATCAAGATGCCAAAGTGGCACATGTTGGGGCAGGCTGCCCTTGGCTCCCACATTTCTGAGGTAAAACCTGACAAAAATGGAAGGAGAAACAGACAAATCCGTAATTACACTTGAAGATTTCAACCCTTCTTTCTTAATAATTGACAAAACAATTGCACAAGTTAAAAAGACTAGGGAAGACTTGAACAACACTAACCAATTTGACCTAACTGACATTTATAGACTACTACACTCAACAACAGCAGAATACATATTCCTTTTAGGCAGACATGGAACCATTTACCAAGACAGAAATCATACAAAGTATGCTCTCTGATCACAATGGAATTAAATTAGAAATAAGTAATACAAAGATCTGGAAAATCCCAAATATTTGGAAATTAAATAACATACTTCTAACAACTCACTGCTCAAAAAAGAAATTACCAGGGAAATTAGAAGATATTTCAAGATAAATGCTAATTAAAATATAACCAAATAAATAAATAAATAAAATACAACATATCAAAATGTGGGGGATGCACTTAAAGCAGTGCTGAAAGGTGGCGCCTGGGTGGCTCAGTCGTTAGGCCTCTGCCTTGGGTTCAGGTCATGATCCCACTGTCCTGGGATTCAGCGCCGCATCGGGCTCCCTGCTCCGCGGGAAGCCTGCTTCTCCCTCTCCCTCTCCCCCTCCCCCTGCTTGTATTCCCTCTCTCGCTGTGTCTCTGTCAAATAAATAAACAAAATCTTTAAAAAAAAAAAAAAGCAGTGCTTGAAAATAATTTATACTTTTAAACATTTACATTATAAAAAAAGAAAGGTCTAAAATCAATCATTTAAGGGGCGCCTGGGTAACTCAGTCGTTAAGCGTCTGCCTTTGGCTCAGGTCATGATCCCAGCGTCCTGGGATCAAGCCCCGCATCGGGCTCCCTGCTCCACAGGAAGCCTGCTTCTCCCTCTCCCACTCCCCCTGCTTGTGTTCCCTCTCTCGCTGTGTCTCTCTCTGTCAAATAAATAAAATCTTCAAATAAATAAATAAATAATCATTTAAGTTTCTACTTTAAGAATTTAGAAAAAAGTACAAATTAAACAAAAAACAAATAGAAATAAGAAAAAAGATAGAAACAGAAATCAGTGAAACAGAAGATGGGCAATCAATAGAAAAAAACCTATGACACCAAAGTTGGTGCTCTGAAAAGAAAAAAAAAAACCCACAAATGATTAATATCATGAATAAAAGAATGCACATCACTACAGATCTTATAGGCATTAAAAGAATAACAGCATATTAAGCATTTGAAATCATCCAACCTACCTCTTCGAAGGAATATTTTTCTACAGTATGAAGAGCATCTTGTGTCTCATTCCACCCTCCAACAGAATAGATACAGTCATTGAGTGCAGCCACACCAAGATATGCTCTCCTGGTTCCCATTGGAGGAAGTGGAGACCAACGCTTAGAAAGTGGATCATATACTTCAAAAGAACGAAGCTCTATTCCTTCATTGCTGATGCCCCCAATTACATAAATTAAACCTGGAAACATAATACTTTTGTTCAGATGCTACAGAAAATAGAATATAAATAATTATAAAAAGTAATAGTTATGATTTATGTCTGCTACGCTGATGTCATATTTTAATGTAGGGCTCACATTATCCTTTAAGAGAGAAAACTGACTTCTGTCTAGTATATCATAGCTTACATTTAAGCATGTTACAAAGAATTAGAGGTATAATTTAAAGTGGCATTTAGGGGCGCCTGGGTGGTTCAGATGGTTAAGCGTCTGCCTTTGGCTCAGGTCATGATCCCGGTCCTGGGATCAAATCCCACTTCTGGCTCCTTGCTCAGCAGGGAGCCTGCTTCTCCCTCTCCCACTCCCCCTGCTTGTGTTCCCTCTCCCGCTATCTCTCTCTCTGTCAAATAAATAAATAAAATCTTTAAAAAATAAATAAATAAATAAAGTGGCATTTAAAGGGTGCCTGGGTAGTTCAGTTGGTTAAGCATCCAACTCTTGATTTCGGCTCAGGTCATGATCTCTGGGTCCTGTGTCGTTGTGCTCCACGCTAAGCATGGAGTCTGCTTAAGATTCTCTCCCTCTCCTTCTGCCCTTCCCCCACCCCCATGCACGTGCTCTCTCTCTAAAATAAATAAATACATCTTTAAAAAAAATTAAGTGACATTTATTTTTCAAAGGACTTATAATGCTATAACAAAACAGTCAGACAAGGTTTCCCATCTTATTGTCTGCTTGATGATCTCAAGTTCCAGAATCACTGCTACCATGAGGTAAAAAAGGAAAGGGAGAGTGATTTTTTTTTCCCCTAAAAAAATGCCATGCACTTAAACTGGGAATGATATGGCCTTGTTTGGTGACAGCCTACCTGTTGCTCAAATGGATATAGAGAATTCAAATTAGAATAGTTATATGGCTAGATTAAGGTATTCAGGATCAATTACTAGATTACAATAGAATATAATTCACAGTGAGTTTCTTATTAAATTTGATTTGAAACTAATGGTTCTGACAATCTACAATGAGGAGCTATAAGTTATAAAGAATGGCATTTTAAGAAATGTGAGCTAAATGTCAGTGAACTTGGGTTCTAGCTTCAGCTTTGCCAGTAACCAGCTATGGGAAAAGACAATTCACAACCTTCCTGATCTTCAGGGGTTGAAATAGATAATCTCCAAGATGCCTCTCTAGCTCTATGATTTTAGAAGATACAATACTGTGATTTATAAGAAATACATAATTGGGGGACGCCTGGGTGGCTCAGTTCGTTATGCGTCTGCCTCTGGCTCAGGTCATGATCCCAGGGTCCTGGGATCCAGCCCTGTGTGGGGCTCCCTGCTCAGCGGGAGTTTGCTTCTCCCTCTCCCTCTGCCCCTCCCCCTGCTCATGTTCTCTCTCCCCACCCCTCAAATAAATAAAGTCTTAAAAAAATTAAATTATAAAATATATATATTTATTTATTTCTCATCTATATATGGTCTTCATCCACAATTCCTTGCTCACAGAAACCCAAACCCTTGGAATTTCCAAAGTGTTAAGAATGATCAGGGTTGTCTTTTTTTATGCTAATGAGGTAACTTTGGAAAAGCACTTAAGGATGGGGGGTGGTTGCCAAAGGAGCCAAACCTATGATTTGAGTGTGGGAACTTTCAGTCTCAGCCCCTGACCTCTGGGGATAGAAGGTGTAGAGGTTGAATCAATCACCAATGACCAATGATTTAACCACTCATGCCTATGTATAGTGAAGCCTCCATAAAAATCCAAAAGGAAAGGGTTTGGAGAGCTTCTGGGTTGGTGAATACGTGGATATCTGGAGAGGGCATGAAAACTCTGTGCCCCTTCCTCATAACAACTTTGCATCTCTACCATCTAGCTGTTCCTGTGTTATATCATTTTAGTAGTAACATTTTCTCTGAGTTCTGTGAGTCACCCTAGCAAATTAATTGAACCTGAAGAGGAGGGACCATTAGAACTTCTGATCTATAGCCAGTCTATCAGAAGCACAGGTAAGAGCCTGGGGAGGATGAGCATCTTGTAGGACTGAGCTTCAACCTGTGGAATTTGATGCTATCTCCAGGTATGGGTACATAGTGTTAGAGTTGAGTTGAATTCTCCAACACCCAGCTGTGTTCTGAGAACCTCTTCTTGTTAGTAGGAGGGAAACTGCCCCTCATCCCTATGTTGAAAACTAAGTCTCAGAACACCTAATTTATATGAGAAGATAAAAATAATAGATACAAAACAATTAGAGAACACTATAGCATTACACAATAGAATACAGTCTGTACCATGTAATTTGAACATTAAAATGCTAATGGAAATCTGAGAAGGTATTCACAAAGCAGAAAGAACTTGAGGTGGGAATAGCAGGTTGAGTTGTTATAACAATGAGCACACTGCTCACTACTCTACAGGTACATATAAATCTGCTCTCCAATTCTGGACCAAGAATTAGGTTCTACTTGACAGTGCTTGCCAACTACTTCTCAGGGTATAGTAGACAATTAAAATAATGTTTGTACACCATTCTAATATATAGTACAACATTTTTCAAATCTGTCATAGCATTATACTCTGTGTGGACTGAGTCAGAATGTACCCTGTAAGAAAACACTGAAAATGCCAAAAGAAGAGACAGTCAGATTGTTTTTTATATCCTCTTCCTACTTAGAAATACTTACTAAGGACTGTATGGGAGAGAAAGTGACAAAGATGGATGAAGGTTCAAATGCTTATTTTGCCAGTCAGGTATTTGTGCCTATCTGTAATTTTTAATTCTAGCTTTGTTTATTTTGGAAAAAAAATATTATTTTGACAATACAGAAATAAAGATATAAGAGGTTAAAACATATAAAATGTTAAAAGCAATACTTCCATACTGTCAGTGTCAAGCATTCAATACTAACAGACATAAAATACAGTATTGTTAAAATAAAGCTTCAAGTTTAGCTGTTTTTTTTTTTTTAAGATTTTATTTATTTATTTGAGAGAGAGAGCATGAGAGGGGTAAGGGTCAGAGGGAGAAGCAGACTCCCTGCTGAGCAGGGAGCCTGACGTGGGACTTGATCCGGGGACTCCAGGATCATGACCTGAGCCAAAGGCAGTTGCTTAACCAACTGAGCCACCCAGGCGCCCCCAAGCTTAGTTTTTTTAAAAAATATATTTTTAGGGGAAAAAAAGGGGGGCACCTGGGTGACTCAGTCAGTTAAGCATCTGACTTTTGATTTCAGCTCAGGTCATGATCTCAGGGTTGTGAGATTGAGCCCTGTGTTGGGCTCCATGCTGGGCATGGAGCCTGCTTAGGATTCTCTTCTCTCCCTCTGCCCTTCCCCCAAAAGATAAACAATAAAATAAAATAAAATACATTTTCAGGAAAAATTTTTTAGAAAGCAATTACCTTGCATTTCGCAACACCCAAAGTAGTAGCGTGACATAGCCATGTTGCCAACTACTTCCCACTTATTTTCATCAGGATCAAATCGTTCAATGGTGTTCCCTATCTCAGCTCCAACCCATCCACCTGTAACCAAATAGAAAAATGTCAATTCTGGATAAAGGAGTCTTATCTTTGAAAAATACCTTAGAAAACATCTAATCTGGCAACTTTATATTCTGAATGATTATCACATGGACCAGAGGGTTATTTGTCCAAGATCATACAAAAAGTTAGAATCTGACTATAAAACTTGGATCTTAACTCTCTGCCTAGTTTTCATCAGAGATTTAAAACAAAACAAAATAAAAACAAAAGTTCATCATATTGCTTAGGAAATAAGGTATTTTGCAAAACTACCTTTTGAAACAACTTCTGCATATTCAGAATGGCTATCCTAATCATGAGATTTAACTAGTTAGCTAAAGTACTTCACTGGACATCTTATCTACATTTTATCTCCATCTCCTTCTAAAAGCTCCATACTTGACAATATTCCCCAAGTAATTCAATCTTGAAAATAAAAATTTATAAAGCTGAAAAAATACAAGTTTCTTGGGGCGCCTGGGTGGCTCAGTCGTTGAGCATCTGCCTTTGGCTCAGGTCATGATCCCAGGGTCCTGGGATCGAGCCCCGCATCGGGCTCCCTGCTCAGAGGGAAGCCTGCTTCTCCCTCTCCCACCCACCCTGCTTGTGTTCCCTCTCTCGCTGTATCTCTATTAAAAAAAAAAAAAGTTTCTTATGGGAGGGAAGGAAAATGTCTAAAGTAATTAGAATCTAAGAATTTAAATAATACTAGATATCCTTAAACCAAAAAGCATAATTACCCAAAGCATAGATAGCCCCATAACACACACACACTCCCAAGCCACAGCGGGGGTGATTCATTGAAGCTACAGTTGTCCACTGTTTAGTAACGGGATCATAGCATTCAGTACAGTCAAAAATCATCGAATCCTTTTCACCTGAGTTAAATAAAAGAGACACATATCAGAAGGTTTAGTGATGCTAATAGCCTAGAACCATAATACAATATTCAGTAGCATTCTGTATTATCAGAAATTCAACTATTATGTCTGATTTTATACTATTCATTAAGATTAGTTTGCCCCATAAGTGTTATTATAAATCAATAGCACTGTCATTTATTAAAGCCCACTTAATGAAACAAGGCATAATTTTCCTATTATCTATTTCTAATTCTACCACCCAAATAATCCATGTAATTTTGGGGGATAAAATTTGTACTTTAACACTTCTATATTTTTTCATGTATTAGTTTGGATACCTGGCTCTGGTATAATTTGAATTTTAATGCAATCCTTATCTAGCAACAAAGAGAAAATAAAAATTTCTAAAAAGGTACCACTTAAAATAGAATTTTAAAAAAGACTCTACCTAGAAATAAGTCCAATCAAAGATTGTACAAGACCTCTGGCAGATAAAATTTATAAACTTCATTTAGATAAAATTTTAAACTAAGGAATATCTAAGTAAATGAAGAGATATATCATGTTCATGAATTAGAAGAATCAATGTAAAGATGATTATCCCCAAACTGATTTATAGATTTAACATAATCCCAATTTGAAACACACTTTTTTTATTGTGTTAAAATACAAGTAACATAAAATTTACCATCTTAACCATTTTTAAGTGTAGAGTTCAGTGATGTTAAGCACATTCATATTTTTGTGCAGCCATCACCTCTATCAACCCCCAAAACTCTCTACATCTTGTAAAACTCAAACATTATACTGATTCAAACAATAACTCCCCATTCTCCCCTCCCCCAACCCCAGACAACCACCATTATATTTCTTGTATTTTATGATTTTGACTATTCTAAGTACCTCATATAAGTGGAATCATACACTATTTTTATTTATTTTTTTTCCAATTAACATTTTTTAAATTTAAATTCAATTAATTAACATATAATATATTATTGGTTTCAGAGGTAGAGTCAGTGATTCATCAGTCTTATATAATACCAGGGCTCATTACATCACGTGCCCCCCCTTAATGTCCATCACTGTTACCCCTTCCCCCTACCCTACCCCTCTCCCCTTCAGCAGCCCTCAGTTTGTTTCCTATGCTTAAGAGTCTCTTATGATTTGTCTCCCTTTCTGATTTCGTCTTGTTTTATTTTTTCCTCTCCTCCCCTATGATCCTCTGTTTTGTTTCCTAAATTCCGCATATGAGTGAGATCATATGATAATTGTCTTTCTCTGATTGACTTACTTCACTTAGCATAATACACTCTGGTTCCATCCACATCATTGCAGATGGCAAGATTTCATTTTTTTGATGGCTGACTAGTATTCCATTGTCATACATTATTTTTAAAGACAGATTTGACAAAAGAAAACAAACAGATTTGATGCACTGGCTCTAAAATTTATATAGAAGTACATAGGGCCCAGAATAGCCAAGCACTCCCACACAAGAATAGTAAGGGGAGAAACTGTCCTATCAGGTAAGCTTATCAGACTTAAAACAGACCTATAGTGATTAAGATAACGATACACAGGGCGCCTGGGTGGCTCAGTCGTTAAGCGTCTGCCTTCAGCCCAGGTCATGATCCCGGGGTCCTGGGATGGAGCCCCACATCGGGCTCCCTGCTCTGCGGGAAGCCTGCTTCTCCCTCTCCCCCTCCCACTGCTTGTGTTCCTGCTCTCGCTGTCTCTGTCTCTGTCAAATAAATAAATAAAATCTTAAAAAAAAAAAAAAGATAACGATACACAGAGAGAACAAAACAGAAAAGAAATTCTAGAAAGAGAAACCAACATATATGATTACCTGATATATGACAGAGTTTGCACTGCATAGCAATAGGGAAACAAAAGCTTTTTATGCTGGGATAATTGGTTATATCTATGAGGAAAAGATGAAACTGGTTCCCTACTCATATTATGTAAAAACTTAATTCCAGGTGGATTGCACACATACATTACAGACATACAGTTAGTTCTAAAACTAAAATTTTAGAAAATAATAAAGGTATATATCCTCATGACTTTGGAGTAGGGAAGGATTTCTTTAAAAAGATACTAGAAACACTAACCATAAAGGGAAAATAAATAATAGAGTTAGCTACATTAAAATGAAAAATACAGGGGCACCTGGGTGGCTCAGTCGTTAAGCGTCTGCCTTCAGCTCGGGTCATGATCCCAGGGTCCTGGGATCGAGCCCCGCATCGGGCTCCCTGCTCGGCAGGAAACCTGCTTCTCCCTCTCCCACTCCTCCTGCTTGTGTTCCCTCTCTTGCTGTGTCTCTCTCTGTCAAATAAATCTTTAAAAAAATAAAATGAAAAATACATTTATCAAAAGATACCATAAAGAAAAAAAAGATACATAAAGAAAGTGAAAGATGAAGCAGCAGAGTAGCAAAAGGTATTTGCAGCACATATAACATATAACTTTATGAGGGCCTGGAATCCTGAACATATAAAACTACTGTGCAGAAAAGAATCAGCACAGCAGGCCTGAGAATGCCTATCCTTAGAAAGACCTGCTTGCAAGATTGACCCTTGGCTGGAATCTGGAAACATACCTTGTAAACAATTCCCTACACTGATATAAAAATTTCCCTAAATAATAAAAGTGGCCTTTTGCAGTGATAAAAATGTTCTGGAATTGGGGCGCCTGGGTGGCTCAGTTGTCAAGCGTCTGAGCAAAATTTTCTACTACAAACCTGAATTACTTTGATAATAAAAATTATCTTAAAATTATATATATATATTTTTTAAGATTTTATTTATTTATTTGAGAGAGAGAATGAGAGAGAGAGAGCACATGAGAAGGGGGAGGGTCAGAGGGAGAAGCAGACTCCCTGCTGAGCAGGGAGCCCGATGTGGGACTCGATCCCGGGACTCCAGGATCATGACCTGAGCCGAAGGCAGTCGCTTAACCAACTGAGCCACCCAGGCGCCCTTAAAATTATATATTATAAAATATCTTAAAATAGCAATGTTGATATTATTAATAATAGTTGGCCGAGTTGAAGTGCCTGACTGACTTAGTAGAGCATGTGGCCCTTGATCTCGGTCATGAGGTTAAGCCTCACATTGGATGCGGAGCCTACTTAAAAATAAATAAATAAATAAATAAATAAATAAATAAATAAATAATAGTGAAGTCATAGCATTTTTGAAGGGTGCCCATAAGTATTTCTGTGGCATGAGGAAAGGGGACACATATATATGAAAGTGTCACATAGGGCACTGTGACCCTATGTTAAATAGGAGAGTTCATGCAATGAAACTATCCCTGATTGCCAAAACGTATATAAAAAGAGCTATGAGAGTTTTAGTCAAAGATTGTATAGAATCATGGTCTTTATGCTGACAGAAAGTTCTTGCTTAAAACTCTTATTTCTTTGTTGGGATTTCTGGATTCACCATGGCATTTATTGATTTAATGAACTGAGTTCTTTTTCTTTTTAAGATTTTATTTATTTTATTTGAGAGAGAGAGAGTGCACACGGGGGGAGGAGTAGAGGGACAAGCAAACTCTGCACTGAGCAGAGCCCAACGTGGGGCTCCATCTCACGACCCTGAGATCATGACCTGAGCCAAAATCAAGAGTCAGCTGCTTAACCAACTGAGCCACCCAGTTGCCTCTTAATGAACTGTTTTTAAGGGACAATTATGTTCCCTCCAAAAGAGAAGTAAAAACCAAATATTCTCTATATCTCTCTCATCTTAAACTGACAATATCATAGTCAAAAAATAGTAATAACATTTTCAAGAGGTGCCTGGGTGGTGCAGTCGGTTAAGGGACCAACTCTTGGTTGCTCAGGTCGTGATCTCAGGGTTGTGAGATCAAGCCCTACATTGGGCTCAGCGCTGAGCCTGCCTGAGATTTTCCCTCTCCCTCTGCTACCCCTCTGCTAGTACTCTCTCTCAAATAATGAATAAATCTAAAAAAAAAATTTTTTTTTATATACAACTTTTGTGTTTTAGACTAACCCATAGAAATAAAGCATAATGATTAGTTCTAAGGGTTAGAGGACCTGCCTAGGCTTGTTCCTATAAAGACAAATTATACAGAAGTAAATATTGATATAAAAGCATTAACATTTACTTCTCTTTAGATCCTCCTCTGATAATTAGTTCCCTCCAACATTCAAAACTCCTTTTATTTAATCTTATTAATCATTTTATAATTCCTAATAATAGTTTCAGAAAACAGTGATTTCAACCAAGAAATATATCCCAATGTCTAGATGACTTAGTTTTTATAAATCTCATTGCCCAGGTAACTATGTTAATTAAATACAACTTCCAGTATGTGAAATTAAATTTCAAAATTAAAACAATTTTTATCACAAACATTTGGTGCCACATTTTATAAACAACTTTTCATCAAAATCAAACCTACGTATTCTGCCTTGGGATAAATCACAGTATCCCTCTGGTCTGAAACATTCAATTATCTTCTGTTTCCTCTTTCTTTTTTCATTCATTTATTCATTAAATATTTATTGAGCACAACCATATCTATGTATACCCCACAGTACCTAACAATATATATAAGTCATATAAGAATGCAGTCAACTTACAGCTAGAGACTAAAAAGGGAAAGAAGACAGTTTCATTATTACCTCCAATAGCATAAACCATCCCTCCCAGAACTGCTACTCCCAGCCCACATCGAGCCTGATGAAGTGAAGACACAGTGGTCCAGTACTGGCTAAAGGTGTCAAAACGTTCTACACAGCTGAGGGCTCTGCTATCACTCCAACGACCCCCCTGCAACCGAGTATATCCACCTGAATGAAGGAAAGGAGATACACAGCAAATCACTTACTGCTAAATATGGAAATGACAGTAATGAGAAAAATCTAGCCCTCTACATCTAGACATTCAGCCAATAACTATTTCATAGCCAAGAACAAGTGCTTTAGAGTCTGCCACATATACATATATTATTCTTAAATACGCCAAGTCCTGAAAGATGATGGCTTAAATGCAATGAGGTCAACCAGTGTTCTACCACCTGGTTTTGGTTATAATAGAATGTTAGATAAAACATAAAAGGAGCTAGTTATGTGTCTAGTTAGGAGGTCTCATTATGACTTCTATTAGTATCTTTTTCAACTAAAAATAGTTGAAACCCTTGTTTAACTGCACATCCCATCAGTAAAAAAATTGTAGCATGAACTCAAAAATAACATATTTAGATAGCATACATGAAATCATACATATAATTACATACAGATTATAAATTATGTTATGAAGTATATATAAAATATTATGTATGTAAATCTGAATAATCTGTTTATATATACATCACATATTAATAATACTTAATGTTTTTTAAAATAAAAAAGATGTTTTAATATGTTCACCTGATACTTCTGTGGATTATCTTGTATGCCCACACTTTAGAGACCACTAGTTCCTATAATCCCTAATCATCTAAGACACCATGAATAGTTAAAAATGTTGAGATTTTCCTTATTTTTCACTGGAATTCACATTTTTAACTTTTCAAGCAATATTTCATAAATCAGTTATTTGACACTAATTGGACAATCTAAGAACCCAACAACTTATATCACAGAATAACAGATGTCAAATAAATAGCTATTTATTCTTAGATGTATCCACTGTATTAAACATAATCAATTAATCTGTAGCCTCTATGTGAAATTAAATATACCTATTTGACACACTTGCATATTCTGATGTTTGTAAAACAATAACAACAAAATATTCAAAGGTTTTACTCCTAAAAATAAAGATTATTTGTATCACTTTTTAAAAGGTTCTCACCTACTGCATATAGGTACTTTCTTGCTTTCTTCCGAGGCCGAACTTTAGATGTCTGCAGAAAACTACAAAACTTGTTCTCTTTGGGAGATTTGCACACCTCACAGTACTCTTTCAAAAGTGTTTGCAATGCAACACGAAGATTAAAATCGGATACTCCTAAAGCAAGTTTGACAAGATACTGTTTTAATCAACTATTAAATAATATTGAAAAGACATGTTCCCATAAAGATAGAACACATTTATCAAAAAATAAAAACTCATCATCAGGCAATTGCGATTGTTTCCTACAATCCCAAATATTATTTTTCTCATTGTTACTAAAGAATATACTTTCCTTCAATCAAAAATTGTTTTTAACAATATGTTTCATAATATCTAATTTAAAAACACGTTTGAGGATTTCTAAACAAAGATGGCAAGGTAAAATAGGACCATGATTATCCAACAAAATGGAAAAATAAAATAGCCCAATATTCTATACTTATGACTTAATAACGAAAAGATAGGGGTGCCTGGGTGGCTCAGTTGTTAGGTGTCTGCCTTCGGCTCAGGTCATGATCCCAGGGTGCTGGGATCGAGCCCCACATCGGGCTCCCTGCTTCGCAGGAAGCCTGCTTCTCCTTCTCCCACTCTCCTTGCTTGTGTTCTCTCTCTCGTTGTCTCTCTGTCAAATAAATAAATAAAATCTTAAACAAAACAAAACAAAAAGATATAAAATTATGTCATGTACTTTATTTATTTATTTTTTAAAAGATTTTATTTATTTATTTGAGAGAGAGAGACTGAGAGAGAGAGAGCATGAGAGGGGGGAGGGTCGGGAGGGTCAGAGGGAGAAGCAGACTCCCTGCCGAGCAGGGAGCCCGATGCGGGACTCGATCCAGGGACTCAATCCAGGGACTCCAGGATCATGATCTGAGCCGAAGACAGTTGCTTAACCAACTGAGCCACCCAGGCGCCCAATTATGTCATGTACTTTAAAAAAGGATAGTCAATGCAAGAAACAAAAGATTCCAGTGGGATGAGGTCCATCTCCTAAAACTTTGAGCATGATTGGGTATACTGTTCCTGCCCAAAGATGCTTAGCTGAGGTGAAATGGGGATGAAAGTCAACCTATGTCCACTTGGCAAGCTATAAGACCTGGCCTCTTTTTTTTTTTTTTAAGATTTTATTTATTTATTTGACAGAGAGAGACACAGAGGGAACACAAGCAGGGGGAGTGGGAGAGGGAGAAGCAGGCTCCCCACTGAGCAGGGAGCCCGATGTAGGGCTCGATCCCAGGACCCTGGGATCATGACCTGAGCCGAAGGCAGACACTTAACTGACTGAGCCACCCAGGCGCCCCAAGACCTTGCCTCTTGAATGGGATTATTTTCTAATTTACACAAAGACACCATATATGCTAGCAAGGGACTGTCTCCAAGCTCTGTCCCTATATCCCAGAAGCAATATTGAGGAAACAAGGTCAATTAAACAAATATTGAGAATTCTCACTAATGACTAATAATTTGGAAAGGCAGAATGAGCAGGTAAGAGGTAGAACTGAGAAGTCAAACAAAAAACCATTTCAAGAAATCCTTTAAAGAACCATCAGTAAAGACAGAATCACCATGGCTTGCCATCTAACAGAGCACAGTACTAGCCAAAGTCCACACTAGTGAGACACATTCGTAGCTGGGTTAAGTAAGCCCTGACACAAGATCAGTAACAGGATCTCAGAGAAAGCTCAGAGCCCAGGTCCCTAAGCAAATATCTAAGCCTTAGCAGATCTCTGTTCTTCCACCACCTTCATACCTCAGGCTAGAAAGAAGTGGCGAGAACACAACACAGTCCTCAAATTTTAGCTGGAAGTTACATTAAGGTAGAAAGGGTGTCAAGGAGAATTAGCTTTGCATCATCAGAGTAATCTGGTTTGAAGAGAGTTGCCCATGTTATACATGAGCATTATATCAAGAAGTAACAATACAACTATTAAAATATATCCCAGGAAAAAGAAGAGAAAGAGACTGCAGAATTCATTCTGGAAGAAAACATTAGCCACAAACAGAAACAGACTTGCCATACATGCTTCACAGGATAAAATTACTTAAAAAGTTAGATCTGAGGCACCTGGCTGGCTCAGTTGGTAGAGCATGTGACTCTTGATCACAGGGTTATGAGTTCAAGCCCCACACTGGGCGTGGAGCCTATTTAAAATAAAAATTAAAAAAATATATATAGATCCTATTAAAAAAAAAAGAGCTCAAAGGCAGAATGAGATGCCTTGCTAAGGAAACAAAGTGAGAACCTGAAATGATAGTATTACAGACTTAATAAATTAGAAACAAGAAACACAATAGATATGATGAAAAATCAAACCACCAATTTGGAGTAAAGACTTGAGAAAACAACTGTGAATACAGAACAAAAGAAAATATTTTAGGGGCGCCTGGGTGGCTCAGTCGTTAAGCGTCTGCCTTTGGCTCAGGTCATGATCCCGGGGTCCTGAGATCGAGCCCCATGTCGGGCTCCCTGCTCGGCAGAAAGCCTGCTTCTCCCTCTCCCACTCCCCCTGCTTGTGTTCCCTCTCTCGCTGTGTCTCTATCAAATAAATAAATAAAATCTTTTAAAAAAAAAAGAAAAGAAAATATTTTAATATTAGAAGATGATAAATATGAAGGACAAAGAAGTTCCAATAAAATGATGAAGACTGTTACTCCTGGGTGGCTCAGTCAGTTAAGCATCTGACTCTTGATTTCGGCTCAGGTCGATATCAGGGTCATGGGATCAAGCCCTGCGTCAAGCTCTGGGCTCATCATGGAGTCTGCTTGTCCCTCTCCCTCTGCTCCTCCCCCTGCTCGTGTGTGCGCCCTCTCTCTATAAAGTAAATAAATAAAATCTTAAAAAAAAGATGAAGACTACCAAATGAAACATTAAAAGTATTGAGAAATTTCATACAGGAAGATTTCCCCAAAATGAAGGAAAAACTGAACCTTTAAAAGGAAAGGGTATATAATTATACTCTAATGAAAAATGACTAACACAAATCAAGAATAAAAATAAATAGGGGCGCCTGGGTGGCTCAGATGGTTAAGCGTCTGCCTTCGGCTCAGGTCATGATCCCAGGGTCCTGGGATCGAGCCCCACATCGGGCTCCCTGCTCTGCAGGAAGCCTGCTTCTCCCTCTTCCACTCTCTTTGCTTGTGTTCCCTCTCTCACTGTGTCTCTCTCTGTCAAATAAATAAATAAATAAATAAATAAGTCTTTAAAAAAAAAAAAAGGAATAAAAATAAATAAAATGCCATTATCATTTCCTAATTTGAGTGTCATATTTCAGAGAATATAGTTTTATAGTTGCTTCCTGAAATAATTGATCAGTTATCACTAATTAATAAAAACGATAACTAAGGTTTTGAAACAATGAGCCTATTCTCATAGTTCAAAAGCACATCTGGGAGGACCTGAGTGGCTCAGTTAGTTAACCACTGACTCTTGGTTTCAACTCAGGTCATGATCTCAGGGTCATGAGATCGAGCCCCAAGTCAGGCTCTGTGCTCAGCTCAGAGTCTGCTTGGGATTCTTTTCCCTTTCCTTTTCCTCTCCCTCGCCCTCTGCTCCTCCCCCCTCCCCCCCCATTCTCTCTCAAAATAAATAAAATCTTAAAAAAAAAAAAGTACATCTGGATGCTAGGGAGGTGGGTGGGGGGACAGGTTAAATAGGTGATGGGGATTAAGGAGTGCACTTGTTGTGATGAGCAGTAGGTAATGTACAGAAGTGTGGAATCACTTTTTGTACACCTGAAATTAATATTACCCTGTATGTTAACTAACTGGAATTTAAATAAAAACTTTTTTTAAAAGTATATCTGGGTGCTAATCTTCTATAAGTTGATGCTAATAAATCTTTTGGAAAAAAAAGAATAACAAAATAATTCTTTAGGCATCTAAGCAGAAAAGGCAAATCATTAAAAAAAAAAAAAAGGACCGTGTCATAAACTTTGATTGGGGGCAGGGAGAAATACCATCATAACTTAAGAATATTATGCCCTGGGGGGTGGGGGAGGGGAGGTCTGGGTAGCTCAGTTGGTTAAGTGTCCCACTCTTGATTTTGGCTCAGGTCATGATTTCATAGGTCATGAGATCAAGCCCTGTATTGGGCTCTGCGCTCAGCAGGGAGTCTGCTTGAGATTCTCTCTCCTCTCCCTCTGCCCCTCCCCCCTACTTGAGCACATGCACGTGTGTTTGCTCTCTCTCAATAAATAAATAAATAAATAAATCTCAATTTAAAAAAAGATAATAAAATGCCCAGGGCACCTAGGTGGCTCAGTCAGTTAAGTAACCGACTCTTGATTTCACCTCAGCTCATGATTTCAGGCTCAGGAGATCAAGCTCCCAGTCAGAGGCATGAGATTCACCTTTTCTCTTTCTTGGGTCTTCTCTTTATATGCACAGGTGTCCAGCACCTAGCTGGCCAAAGTGAGGGTTGATGGTTTTCACCAAGCAGCTGTATATCTCTGTTAGAAGCGTCAGAGAGATTCCATTTGTGATGATTTAAAGCTGAGACTTCTAGGACACTTCTGAAATAGCACTTATAGGTAATGCCCACATTCATTTTTCTTAATGCCCATGGAAGGGTGGGGGCAGGGGGTGGGGCTGGAGGTGGGGGTTAAGGAGTATAGGGTTAAGCTGTAGAATGGGAGAAGTCTGGGTTCAAGTCCAGGCTTTACACTTACTAAATATGTGATAGGGACAAACTACCCAATCTGTCTGCTTCAGTTTCCTCATCTGTAAAATAGAAATGACTAATAGTAAAACCTACTTTCTATACTGTGAGAAGTAGGGGGTGAGTGGGTGGCTCAGTCAGGTAAGCCTCGGACTCCTGATTTCAGCTTAGGTCATGATTTCATGGGTTGTGAGATAGAGCCCTGTGTTAGGCTCCTCCATCAGCAGGGAGTCTGTGATTCTCTCTCTCTCTTCCTCTGCTCCTCCTCCTGCTCACAGGCACACACACATGCTCATTCTCTCTCTCTCAAGTAAATAAATAAAACCTTAAAAAAAAAAAAAGACTATTATGCCCATCCATGGGGTGCCTGGCTGGCTCATTCGATAGAGCATGCAACTCTTGATCTCAGGGTTGTAAGTCCCAGCCTCCTGTTGGGTGTAGAGATTACTTTTTTTTTTTTTTTTTAAGATTTTACTATTTATTTATTTGACAGAGAGAGAGAGCACGAGCAGGGGGAGCAGTAGAGGGAGAGGGAGAAGCAGGCTCCCCACTGAGCAGGGAACCCAATGCAGGGCTGGAGCCCAATGCAGGGCTCTATCCTAGGACCTGAGCCGAAGGCAGACACTTAACTGACTGAGCCACCCAAATTTTTAAAATCTTTAAAAAAAAAATTATGCCCATCCAAATTGCTGTTAAAAAAGCAACAGGCAGAAATTCTCAAATATGAAAAGAATTCAGGAAATAGAGTAATCACGAGCTTTTCTTGAAAAAAGTACTTGGTGGGCGCCTGGGTGGCTCAGTTGGTTAAGTGACTGCCTTGGGCTCAGGTCATGACTCTGCAGTTGGGCTCCCTGCTCAGCAGGGAGTCTGCTTCTCCCTCTGACCCTCCTCCCTCTCATGCTCTCTGTCTCTCATTCTCTCTCTCTCAAATAAATAAATAAAATCTTAAAAAAAAAAAAGAAAGAAAGAAGTACTTGGTGATGAAATCCAGCCAACCGGAGGCGCCTGGGTGGCTCAGTCGTTAAGCGTCTGCCTTCAGCTCAGGTCATGATCCCAGGGTCCTGGGACTGAGCCCCGCATCGGGCTCCCTGCTCTGCAGGAAGCCTGCTTTTCCCTCTCCCAATCCCCCTGCTTGTGTTCCCTCTCTAGCTGTATTTCTCTCTGTCAAATAAATAAATAAAAATATTAAAAAAAAAAAAAAAGAAAGAAAGAAATCCAGCCAACCAAAAGACAAATCAAAAAAGAAAATTTGGGGGCGCCTGGGTGGCTCAGTTGGTTGGGTGACTGCCTTCGGCTCAGGTCACGATCCTGGGGTCCCGGGATCGAGTCCCGCATCGGGCTCCCTGCTCAGAGGGGAGTCTGCTTCTCCCTCTGACCCTCCCCCCTCTCATGCTCTATCTCATTCTCTCTCTCAAATGAATGGATAAAATCTTAAAAAAAGAAAAAAAAAGAAAGAAAAAAAAGAAAATTTGGGAATAAAAAGACTGAAAAAGGGGATGCCTGGGTGGCTCAGTCGTTAAGCGTCTGCCTTCGGCTTGGGTCATGATCCCAGGGTCCTGGATTGAGCCCCGCATGAGGCTCCCTGCTGCACGGGAAGCCTGCTTCTCCCTCTCCTACTTGCCCTGCTTGTGTTCCTGCTCTCACGATCTCTCTGTCAAATAAATAAATAAAATCTTTAAAAAAAAAAAAGACTGAAAAACTGGTAGACAACATTAATTCATTTAAATACAGAACAAAAGCACAGAGCTAGGGAAATCATGATTAGAAAAAAAAATCTATATAAAGGTATAAACCTTGGGTGGTGGCATAGGAAGAAAAATAATAATGCTAATTACCTTATTTTTCTTAGTGGGTCTATACTGTTTAAAATTGAAACACAAAACAATGTATGTTAAAAATATTGGAATTAAAAATTTAAAAATAATAAATAAAAATAAAATTAAAACACAAATGAAACTTTTATTTCATCTTTTAATGATTTTCATCTTTTGTCCTTAACTCGATAAGAACTTTTTAGAATGAGTGTTTCTTGAGATAAACATTCATTGAAATTAGTTATTACTTCAATTTCTTAACTTTTAATGAGATTTAAGTATGCTTTTTGTATTAAAAATAGTATGTACTGAATGATTCTTACATTATTTTCTGTTTATTCATCCAACCATACATCCACCCATCATCCATCATCCTATACAGAGATATCTAGAATGATGTTTACTAAATGTTAATTATAACTGGTTATTTCTGGGTGGTGGACTTTGGGGGAATTTGTTGTTTTATTATACTTTATTACCTAAACATTTATAAGAGGATGTACCATTTTTAAAAAGTAGTCATTCTCTAAAATGGCAAGAAATAGATGTGTTATCATATAGCTAGTAGTATTACATTTCCTGAATTATTCCAGTGGTAAATACAAAAAAATATACTGGGGGGAAGTCTACATATTTCATATAACATAATTTAACCATTTCTATTAAGTCTTTTGCTCTCTCTCTAAATTTTGTGGTAGTCTCATTATTTTTCTACATAAACTGCCCACCTTTTCTCTAATATGATCAAAAAGAAAGTTTCAAAGTTGAAATATATTAAAATCTTTAAAAAAAAATCCTCCATTTACTTCTCCCTGACTCCTTGCAGTTTTACTCCAGTGAAATACCTTTAGCTGACAATTATTGGGCATGCTAATAAGCAGTACAAGGTTTGAATATTATAACACTAAAAACCTGTAGGAAAACATGCCCCAATTCTAGGTAACTTTCTCTTGCTCTTAGCAAAGGAACTTTCCTGCAGCACTCTGTATCTACGGAACTTGGTAAAAGACAACTCAACCATGAAAGCTTTTGTCCCACTCCTAAATTCTCATATGATTCAAGCAAAAATGTGTCTGGATAATTTCTCTCTTCTTGTTTTAGCATTTAAATACAATCGGTCTTCATTATTTGTGGATTCCTTTACTTATGAAAACATCTACTCATTAAAATGCACTTGTAACCCAAATTAACACTCATGTTGCTTTCCTAGTCATTCACAGGCATGCTGCAGAGTGGAAAAAAATCTGAATCACCTGAATGCATGTTTCCAGGTGGGAACTGAACAAGGTGACGCTCTGCCTTGTGTTTCAGCTCTCATATTATAAACAAGTGTCCTTTTCATTGTCTATTTAGTGCCATGTTTTTCACATTTTTGGGCTTTTTGTTGGTGATTTCATTGTTAAAAATGACTCCAAGCATACTGTTGAAGTGCTGTCTAGTGTTCCTGATTGTAAGAAGCCTGTAATGTGCCTTATGGAATAAATACATGTATTAGGTTTCATTTAGGCATGGGTTATAAGGCTGTTGGCCATGAGTTCAAAATTAAATCAAGTATATATATATTAAATAAGATGTTTTTGATAGAAACACACATAAAACAAGGTTATGTATTGATCAGGTGGCAAAAATACTGTGACCTAGGTAAGAACTTACCCAGTATTTCCCCTAGGAACAATGTCTCAGTATTTGCCAATTCAGTGTTTGTGGCAACTTTATAGAACAGAACTATTGTGAATAATAAGAATTGATTGAGTAATGTATATGCATTAATAAAAAGACATCACTCAGAAAAACCTATCAAATTCTGTTAATATTGTTAAGAGTAGAAAAAAACCCTAAAAATCCACATTAAATATAATTCTTTCACAGAATTACACCTTTAATGCTAATAGTGTATTTAATTGATAAGATCATTTGTAACTCAGTCACATCCTAAAGTTTCAGTGCATGACAAGAGTAAGAGCTTCAAATCTTGAAACCAGGTCTAAGGTAGTTTATAAAAATAAATTTAAACATGGGGCGCCTGGCTGGCTCAGTCAGTGGGGCATGCGACTCTTGAACTTGGGGTTGTGGGTTCAAGCCCCACATTGGGTGTAGAGTGCTTAAAAATAAAATATTAATATATCAATTAATAATTAATATATATATGTATGTATCATTTTTCTAATATAAAAATTAATACTATTTTATACTACAATGAAAAGTATTTTCAGTTTAGTACCTAAAGATGATTCAAAGGCTATTTAGAAGCTATGATATTATATTAATAAAAAATTAATTTTATAATGAGAAGACTTACAGGATTTATTGAGTTTGGGTTTTGTTTTTAGCATATGCATTTTCCTCAAGTGTCAGGTTTTGCTCAATTTTTTAGGGGAGCAAGAGGAAATCTTCCACTGAAATAATCAGTACTACCAAAAACAGCAGTGGTATTTTAGCTCTGTCAGTAATTTTATCTATAACTCTAATCTCCCTTAGTATTTAATCTCAAGAAAGGTATGTAAGAATTTGATCAAAATAATGGGTAGAAATACTGAAATACTATCTGCAAAACACAAAAGTTGTATCTTGCATATATTAATCATTCAATAAATGTCTGCTATTGAACTGAAAAATGAAAACATTATCACATTTCAAACAGAGAATAAGCCACTGGATATTCACTCATTTGATACGCAAAAAAATTACCTTCTATATACTTTAAAAGCCTCTGAGGAGGTAATAAAGGGAATCGAATTGGTTCTAGCACTTCTACCACATGCTTTCTTCTTTTTCCCAGGTCCTTCAGAATCCATTGCATTGCAGCTAAGAAGACCTGATATTCATCCTCAATACTGAGCTCTTCGCTTCGCAAAATTTTGATTAGTTGATCTTTTGTAAGCGCCAGGAACTCCTCCCCACTGTGAACCTCCAAGAAATGGACATGAATGTAGTTTTCTGTGAATTCCAAAAGATCATGGCAGGCAATTTGCTCAGAGAACTGAAAGAGCCCAATGCAGTTCAATGGATCAATTTGTCCTTTCAGAAATTCACAGCATAAGTTAACAACTTCAGTCAACTGTAGCATGTCTGCTGCAACAATCAGCTCCTGGACATTATTCACACCTATGTTCACTATACCTAGGGAATTAGGGAGACAAAATAACCAAAAAAATAAAAACAAACATTTGACTTATATTAAGAAAGCATTATATTTAAATCTACTGATAGCTTAGTATTTGCTGAGTAGATAGATGCTAAGTAAAAAGGCAACAAAGGATTTGTATAAAGAGTGCAAAACTTAAATGATGATACTTAACATTTATGGAACACTTACAATGGACAGAAACATTAATTGTTTTATCCATTCACTTAACTGTCACTACAACCCCATAGAGTATGTGTTATTATTTTTTCTTTTTCTACCAATTTAACAGAAATAGAAAGTTTATTTATTTTATTATATATTAAAAAAATGTTTTTTAAGTAGGGTCCACACCCAGCATGGAGCCCAATGTGGGGCTTGAACTCAGGACCCTGAGATCAAGACCTGAGCTGAATCAAGAGACAGATGCTTAACCAACTGAGCCACCCAAGTGCCCTGAAGAATCAGAAAGTTTAAATAACTTATCTTCAAGTCACATGGTCAAGTGACTGAGGGTAGGGATTGACATCAAAGTCCATGCTTTCAACATTTTAACATAAGGCTATATGCATCTAACATTTACTGAGGCACTGGGGTAAGACAGGGTCCCCATCTTCAATTATGATAAAGTACCACACAAACATTAACTATTAATACTAGGTATAAGCAAGTGTCTATAACATATGAGAAGTTACTAAATACTTAACATTTAAGTAACTATGTACACCACTTTCTTTCTAGATGACTTCACTTCCATATATTTACATATATGACTTTGGGAGAACACCAACTAGTCAAATATATTTAGAAGGGAAGAAAAACAATGTAATTCTCCTACCTGATAAGGACAAACTCTCCATTCAATCTTATACTTCCCTTTATCCCTTTTATGATATTCACCCCGCTAAACTATTTGTCTAAAATTTGTATTCCCAATAAGATTTATAAAGTCTGTTGGGGGAAGCCTTCCCCTTCTGTATTCTCAATGCCTAGCGCCCACTAGGCACTCAAAAAATTTGTTTTAAATAAATTAATGGCCAAAGTGATTATCGTGAGAGGAAGAATATCGCTTGCTGAATGCAAACACGGGTTCCCGAAAGTAAGAAATGGAATCCACCATGGCAGTAAATGGTATGCTGCAGAGAAAACTGAGATAAGACTTAGTTGAATGGAAAAAAAAAAAAAGACTTAATTGAATGAAATGAGAATTCACAACAAATTTGGACAAGATCATGGGTTGTAATCTATGAAGACTGAATGCCTGCTACTGGATAAAGCCAAGAGTTACTTGAGAGCAATAAAAAGAATGTCCTATAACTACATAAGGCTTTATAGATTACAAAAAGCACTTTTACATTTATGAAAATTTATCTCATTTAATTTTCACATGAATTATGAAATGTTATCCCCACTTTACAACTAAGGAATATGAGGCTCTCACAACTTCATTTCAAATTTTTAAGTACCTAAACTGCACTACTTACAAAGCTCTGAGAAGGCAGAGGCCCTGTCTATCTTGTTTACTGCTATATCCCTAGTGCTTAGCTCACAAAAAGTATTCTTTTTTTTTTTTTAAAGATTTTATTTATTTATTTGAGAGAGAGAATGAGAGTGGGGAGGGTCAGAGGGAGAAGCAGACTCCCTGCTGAGCAGGGAGCCCGATGCGGGAATCGATCCCAGGACTCCAGGATCATCACCTGAGCTGAAGGCAGTCGCTTAACCAACTGAGCCACCCAGGCGCCCCTCACAAAAAGTATTCATATGGGATACCTTGCTGGCTCAGTCAGTACAGCATGTGACTCTTGACCTGGGGGTTCTGAGTTCAAGCCCCATATGAGGCATAGAGCTTATTTTAAAAAAATAAGGGGCACCTGGGTGGCTCAGTTGGTTGAGCGTCTGCCTTCGGCTCTGGTCATGATCCCAGAGTCCTGGGATCGAGCCGCAAGTCGGGCTCCCTACTCAGCGGGGAGTCTGCTTCTCCCTCTCCTTCTGTCCTGCTTGTGCTCTCTCTCTCTCTCAAATAAATAAATAAAATCTTCAAAAAAAAAAAAAGAACCTTGATTTTGTTGTGGGTAGTAATTGTGCCCTGCTAAAAATTATATTTCTTAGCCTCATTTACAGATAGGGATGAACTTTTTACTGTTTGGTCCATGGGATACAGACAGCAGTTACTGGGTACGGCTACCAGAAAAGCCTAAAAAGAGCACAGTCTCAGCTAGCAGGCCCTTTTGCCTTTTTCCCTTCCTCCTTCCACTGTCTGAAATTCAGCAATCATGAGATTAGACGCTACAAGCTATAGATGGTAGAGCAAAATGTTGGGAGAATATTAGGACACTAAGGACATCATGAAGCCACCATACCATCCCTGGAATGCCTATTATGAATTCACTCCTGTGGGAAAAGAAACTATCTTGTTAAGCCACTTGATATCTTTTACCCGTAGCCAAATTCTCTTCTTAATTGTTATACCAATTATAGCTTTAAATGTCAGTATTCTAGAATGTTATTTCTCCCAGATATGTTCACTAGCTTTTATTTCCTCTGGGTTTTACCACTTTTTATTTATTTGATGGAAGTGCTAATCACCAATATAGTGATAGTACCAGGAATATCTTTCACTAAGTATCTCTTGCTGCTACCCTTAGACAAGAGGCAGAATAAACACCTTGTAGCATTTCTTCTGTTTTTGCATAGTTCAACACTAATTCCTTTGGATTAATCTGTGTTAATTTACACTTTGCAAATAAGAGAAGCAGGACATTTATGAAGCTGTTTTCAGCTCACACAAGTCATTTAGAAAAGGTTAAAAAAAAATCCCTCAATGCTAATTTGTACATTAGCCAATAGATAGGGCTGCATTGCTTTCGGTAAATAAAACATAGTCATTTTTACAATCTCCAAATTAAGAGTTATTTTCTGATATTTTCCAAAACATAATAAGAAACAACACAAAGAAATCTCCTTTTGTCATTTTTAAGGTTTAAATACCATGCACTAAATAAATAATACTTTATCAGGTCACATAATTATCTCCCACCAGGGGCGCCTGGGTGGCTCAGTCGTTAAGCGCCTGCCTTCAACGCAGGTCCTGATCCCGGGGTCCTGGGATCCAGCCCCGCATTGGGCTCCCCGCTTGGTGGGAGGCCTATTTCTCCCTCTCCCGCGTCCCCTGCTTGTGTTTCTGCACTATCTCTCTCTGTCAAATAAATAAATAAAATCTTTAAAAAAAAAATTATCTCCCACTAAGTAGTCCTGTAAGGAGAGTATGATGACCATAGTCTTTGTTTTCAAACATTTTTTCTGATTATATTGTATTTGCTCATAGAAAAAAACTTCAAAGCAGAAAAGTATAAAAATGAAAATCACGCATTTTCCCACAGACACTGTACTAACACTTTAGTGTCTTTCAAATCTTATTTCTACGTATATTTGTTACATATCATATAAAACTTATACTTCATGGTTTTTTGTGTGTGTTTTCTAATGTTATCAAAACTTTTTAAAAACATTTTTTTTTAAGATTTTTTATTTATTTATTTGACAGAGAGACAGAAAGAAGCACAGGTAGGCAGAGAGGCAGGCAGAGGGAGAGGGAGAAGTAGGCTCCCCGCTGAGCAGGGAGCCCGATGCGGGACTGGATCCCAAGACCCTGGGATCATGACCTGAGCTGAAGGCAGCCGCTTAACTGACTGAGTAAATAAATAAAAGTTTTAATTAAAATACATGCTGACTATAAATATTTTGAGGGGAAAAAGAAAAAGAGGGAAAAATAAAGATCTTCCATATTCCACCATCCAGAGATAAACATTTATCAACATCTGGTCTTTTTCCTGTGCACAAATAAAATGATTTTTTTTCTTTACAAAACTGAGTACTTATATCCAAAATTTTTTCCATTTAATATATTCTAAACACTCTTCCATAGTATATATTTAAATAATTTGAGAGATCTAAAAATATATTCCATGATACATACATGTGCCATAATTTATTTAACCACATAACCTACTGAGGGGTAGTTAGATTGTATTCAATTATGTACTGTTATAAATAATGTTACAATAAACATCCTGGTACATAAGTATTTGCCTGCATCACTAATTAATTCCTTATGATTCCTAGAAAAGGAATACTGGGTCAAAAGATAGGAACTTTTCAGTCATAATAACATATTGTCAAATTACTTTCCATAGAAGTTGTATCAATTTATATTCCCATTGCAATGCATGAGTGATTACATCATTCGTCACTCAAAGCTATAGGCTCACTTAACATACCTGTATAAATGAAATCTAGAAGTATTTGAAAGATTCCAGCTTCAATTCCTAGAATCTGTACAACATCTTTTGAGGACTCTTTCATTCCTCCAGTGAACAAAGCTGCAAAGTAAGGACTACTGGCAGCCAAAACCAGCCGATGAACTTTAAAAGTTTCCTTCCCGACTTGCAGCTGTACATCACAGAAATGCTCTCCATTCCTCATTTTATTGATCTGGGCCAAGATGAGTTGGGCATGTTTATCTGATGAAAATGGACTATCACCAGCCTTGGGACTGTCCTCATTAGCCATGATGACAGATTAATTAAAAGGACTACTGCCCATAATCTGGTCCTACCCTGAAAAACAAAATAGAAGGAGACCAGAAAACATATTTTTGTGTTTAACACGTCTTCTATTCACACACATATCAAACATTCCCTATCCTCAAGAAGCTTACAATCTACTTAGGGACATAAAACACACACAAAACAAATAAGGACTAAACCTGTGTGGTACTATTCCTAATAGGGTTTCAGGGAAGGGAATAAGTAATGGGGCCTAAAATAATTGGAGGATGCTTCACGGTAGAAATGCGACCTGAACTGGATGTTGCAAGATAAAGATTAACATATGAGGAGAGGGCATAAGCCCTTCTAGGTGAAATAAAGAAAATAAGAAAAGGCACAAAGGCAGAAGTTTGTTGTTGTTGTTTTTAAAGATTTTATTTATTTATTTGAGAAAGAGAGAGCACATGAGGGGGAGAGGGTCAAAGGGAGAAGCAGACTCCCCGCTGAGCAGGGAGCCCGATGCGGGACTCAATCCTGGGACTCCAGGATCATGACCTGAGCCGAAGGCATTCGCTTAACCAACTAAACCACCCAGGCACCCAGAAGTTTTTGTATACTGTAGTAAGGAAGCACACACTCTAGGCAGAATGAATTTTCAAAAACCAACTGTGATCAGGCCAACTGTCTGCTTACAATCCTTCAACTTGCACACTTCTCTTGGCACACAAAGCCCTTCAAATCTCACCTCTGTCTACCTGTCCGGTCCTATCTCCCATACTCTTCTTTGAACTTAATACTCCAACAAAACCTTAACAATTTGCAGTTCTCTAAAAGTGTCTCTTTCAAGACATCCTTCCCCACCTTTTCCTTTTGGGTCTTTGTTATAATTTAAGACTCTGTTCAAACATAATTTCCTACAGAACCTTCCCTGTTCCTCTCTCCTCTGGATTTGGTGCTCATCCTAAACTTGCCTATTTTACAGTGTTTATCACACTCTGCCTTGTCAGACACTCTACCACCCTACTTCCTACAGACACATATATTCTCTGAAAGCTTCCTGAAAGACAGTCTCTTAAGGGCAAGGACTATCTTTCACAGTAGTAGCACCAGTACCTAACATATATTAAGTTTTCAAATATCTGTGAAATGAACGAGTACAATGAGAAATAACAATACCTTAGGTTTTGTCTAACTATGATAGCTTTTCCACATATTCTGCCAAATGTAATCCTCACAATAATTAAGAGGCTGGAAGAAAAGGTATTGTTATTTGAAATGAGAGAAAAGGAAACTGAAGCTCAAAGTCTCCCAAGGACACAGTGTTAGTATAACGACAGTCTCAGTATTTGAATCCAAGTCTTATTACTCTAAATCCTGGGCTTTCCCCACCATATCACATGCATAGGATTTATTAGGCCAGGTTATAGAGAAAAGGCTTTGAAACCCAAGCACAGAAATTTAGCCACTATAGACTCAAGAGTAAACATGACAACAGTCATGTTTCAGAACTGTTATATGAACCTTCCAGGGAATGAGCTGAGAGGTAGCAAAGTCCTTGAAAACAGCCTTACAGCTCCAACAGTGAGAATCTAAGGGATAAATCCAACTTACTTTTTAAATAAAGAAACCATGAGATCCAGTAATATAATACATTTGGAGATGAAGCACAAGGGAAATCCAAGATGACTACAGTTTTGTAATCTAGGCATCAAAGGGAAGTAGTAATAAGACTGACAGAAAGGTGTGGGCTGATGTTAGAAAAAAGTGGTTAAGTTTACAGCATTCAGTCAAACTTATCAAAGTAAAACTAAGCTGATTATCATGATTATCTAGGAATTGAGAAATCTGATTGAGAAGTTCCAAAGCAGCTGCTAAAACTTCCAATGAGCATTTACAGAATGTCAACATATTACATTTAATCGGCATATAAAAGCAAACAGTGCATTTGTCTCTACATTGAAATTTGACCTGCAGAATATTATTAAACATGACATGGCTGTTAGGCTTTTTTTCTGTTTTAGATTTCTTCCTGTCAGCAAATTTTGAACCCTAGGGGCTTGATTACAAGGTACCTCCTCTGCCCCCAACTTCGAGGCATCAAGCACAGCCACTGAGCTAAAATGCTGCCTCCTGCTACTAAATAGTTGACTGAATATCCACCCACTGGGGTAGCAGACAGCAGAAATCCTAACGTGTTACCATGCTTCTTAGTAATTGCTGATACTATCCCACTGCCAGTGAAGAACTTCATTCCAAAGGGCGGCACATGCGCGGCCATATTTCCAAAAGGAAAGAGCATAACTCCGGGACACTGCATACGGATGCGAGGAAGAGACCCAAGCTTGAAAGGAAGATTATTAGGAAACGGTGGAGATGCCCAGAAGTGAAGACCTATGTTTGGTGGCCTTGACTCTACTGCCGAGGGCATCGGGAAGCTGCTTCAGCAAAGGGTGGCAGAAAAAGCAAGCGTCAAAAAACCGAGGCTCTTTGTGCTTGAGTGGGGGATCTGGAGAGTTACCCCTAAGCTGCTGCGACACTACAAGAGGATAAACATTCGGCGCTACCTAAATGGCGGAGAAGGCAGCTCACACTTGTCTGGGGCTAGCTGACAGGTTGGGGGCTCGGCCTTCGCATTCCCCGGTGGGGGCGGGGAAAGGAGAGGCAGGAGCGGACCCGACGAGGCCAAGCGAAAGGTGAGGGCGAAAACACTTTGACTATCAGAGGCACGCCTGAGCGGCCCGAGGAACCGTTTCCAGAGGCTCCTCTCCTCTCCTCAGGGGTCCCAAGAGCCGTAAGAGCGAAGAGGTCATTCCCAACCCCGTCATAGCCGCACCCGGACGCAGGCCCTTCTTACCCGCCGCTTCCCCTTCCCGCCGGCGCCCGCTCAGGCCCTGCGCGCGCAGTCACGACCAGCGCCGGCGCCGAGGGGGCGGGGGAAACCCCGCTGGGCGGACGAGGCGGAGGTGACGGCACAGCGATCGGCGGAGCGCTGGAGGCGAGGCCAGGCCTGCTGAGGAGCGCCTCTCGCGCGCCGCCGGCCCCCGTCAGGTCTGCGCGTGCGCAGTGTTCTTCCGCTCGCGGGTGGCGGCGGCTCCCTGAGCCTAGCGGCTGTGGCCCGGGGCTGGTGTTGGATTCCCCGCCCGCCAACTGCACAGCGGCACGTCCAAGCTCTTGCCTGTTGGGGCTGGCCGGTTCGACCGTTCCACTGCACCTACGTTCTCTCCATTCCTGTGGCGTCCCAGATAGCCAGCGAACCTCAGTGTTAAAGAAAGACAGAGACAAACACGAGCGCTGCGCTTCTCTTTTTTTTTTAAACTTGAGATGTAATTGAGATGTAATTGACGTATAACTTTAGCTTCATGGGTAACAACATGATTTTTATTTATTTGACAGCGAGAGAGAGAACACAGGCAGGGAGAGTGGGAGGGGGAGAAGCAGGCTTCCCGCGGAGCAGGGAGCCCGATGCGGAGCTCGATCCCAGGACCCTGGGATCATAACCTGAGCCGAAGGCAGACGCTTAACGACTGAGCCACCCAGGCGCCCCATGATTCGATTATTTCTATCTTCTCTTTATTCTTTACCATTCACTCAAGTCATTTTTTCTTTTTAGAGATTTTATTTATTTGACAGACAGAGACACAGCGAGAGAGGAAACACAAGCAGGGGGAGTGGGAGAGGAAGAAGCAGGCTTCCCGCAGAGCAGGGAGCCCGATGCGGGGCTCGATCCCAGGAGCCTGGGATCATGACCTGAGCGGAAGGCAGACGCTTAACGACTGAGCCACCCAGGCTCCCCTCAAATCATTTTCTAAGTTTGCCTAAGCCTGGCATTTGGATGGATGCCTGCTTTTGAGGGAAGGGAGAACTCCAAATGTCTAGTTCTTTCCACTGTTGAACCTCAAAACCTCATAATATGTCACATCCGTGGCTTTCAAATATTTTGATCCCAGCCGACAGTGAACAAAAACATTCTACCTCAAACCCAATAATATCACATAGGTATATACAGATATATATATATGAAACAAAAATTTCACAGAACTATATACTTACTGCCAACAATTCACTAAATTTCTATTTCTTCTTTTTGATTCATTACCAAAAAGTGCTAACAGGGACCCCTTGTCAGAAAAATTATTGTCCAAGACTCGGAAATGAGCAAAAGCGATTACTTGGTTGCCCTTTTAGTGTAAGGCTAGGCATTGTCTAGCAGACTTTGGAAGGATTTGAATCCATAAGGACCTATGACTTTCTATTGATGAAGCTATTTTGCAAGAAAATGGGCATTTCAAATAATTCTTGTCCACTCTGTAGAAAAGATTACACAAAAAAACATTAAGTTAGGGGCCCCTGGGTGGCTCAGTCGTTAAGCGTCTGCCTTCGGCTCAGGTCATGATCCCAGGGTCCTGGAATCGAGCCCCGCATCGGGCTCCCTGCTCCGCGGGAAGGCTGCTTCTCCCTCTCCCACTCCCCCTGCTTGTGTTCCCTCACTCGCTGTGTCTCTCTCTGTCAAATAAATAAACAAAATCTTCAAAAAACAAACAAACAAACATTAAGTTATATTAACCTATGGCATATTAAACCACTTTTCCCTCTCAGCAATTTCAACATTCCTGATTCTTAGCAAATTCATACAGCATTCCTGTACCATTTTACTGGCTCCCTCATTAATTAATATAAATAACATTTTTGGCATGTGTTAATTTTATATTTCTATGACAGTCCTAATTTTACCTTTTGGGAAATTATACTTCAGCACCACTAAAATTAATTTCCCAATTTACTATTGGTTTGCACCCAGCAATTTGAAAACCAGTGTATATATCTGAGAGCAGAACTGCTCAAACATATGGCATGTACATCTTCAATTGCACTAGAAAATACCTCTTTTCGAAACTCTGACCGATTTACATTCCCGCCAGTAGTGAATGAGTTCCCTTCCTCCACATCCTTGCCAACACTTAATATCATTAGATGTTTAAATTTTGTATAACCTGGTGAGTGTAAAATGATGTTTCATTTTGTTATAATTTACATTACCTGATCATTTATGAGATCAGGCAGTAAAAAGATGTTTATAAGATGCTACAGACTGAATTGTGTCCCTCCTCCCCCAAATTCATGTTGAAGCCGTAACACCCAGTGTGATGGTGTTTGGAGATGGGGCCTTTGGGAGGTAATTAGGGTAAGATGAGGTCAGGGGAATGGGTCCCTTATGACGGGATTAGTGATTTTATAAAAAGAAATACCACAAAACTTGTTTCCTTCCTCTCTCCGTTTCTCTTTCTCCACCCCTCCCGTTCCCCTTGAACCCACTAACTCACTGTGCACACGAAGACGAGGTCAAGTGAGCACACGGAGGTGGTAGCTGCCTGCAAATCAAGAGAGAAGCCTCAGAATGAAACCTACCTTGTTGGCACTTTGATCTTGGACTTCCAAGCCTCCAAAACTGTGAGAAATAACTTTTTTGTTTAAGCAACCCAGTCTATGACATCTTGTTATGTTAGTCTAAGCGGACTAATACATAGCCAACTAAGTTTCTTTTCCCATAAAACGGCTGTTTATGTCTTTTGTCCATTTTTTCTATTGAAGTTTTTTTTTTTTAAGATTTTATTTATTTATTTGAGAGAGAGAGAGAATGAGAGACAGAGAGCATGAGAGGGAAGAGGGCAGAGGGAGAAGCAGACTCCCTGCCGAGCAGGGAGCCCGATGCGGGACTTGATCCTGGGACTCCAGGATCATGACCTGAGCCGAAGGCAGTCGCTTAACCAACTGAGCCACCCAGGCGCCCCTATTGAAGTTTTTTTAAATTGATTTTTAGGAGGGTTTTTTTTATTATAGGCACACTCATTTTATTGCTCTTCACTTTACTGTGCTTCACAGGTACTGCGTTTTTTACAAATTGAAAGTCTGTGGCAACCCTCATCAAGCAATTCTCTTGACACCATTTTCCAACATCATTTGTTCACTTTGTGTCTCTGTGTCACATTTTGGTAATTCTTGGAATATCTCAAACTTTTTCATTGTTATTATTATATTTGTTACGGAGATCTATTATCCGTGAGTATGACTCATTAAAAACTCAGATGATGGTTGGCATTTTTTACCAATAAAGTATTTTTTAAAATTTTATTTTATTATGTTAATCACCATACATTACATCATTAGTTTTTGATGTAGTCAATAAAGTATTTTTTAATTAAGATATGTGCTTTTTTAGACATAATGCTATTTATTGCACACTTAATAAATGACAGTATAGTTTATTTATTTGACAGAGTGAGAGAGAACACAAGCAGGGGGAGCAGCAGAGGAAGAGGGAGAGGGAGAAACAGGCTCCCAGCTGAGTAGGGAGCCTGATGTGGGGCTCTATCCCAGGACCCTGGGATCATGACCTGAGCCAAAGGCAGATGCACTGACTGAGCCACGCAGGTGCCCTAAAAGACAGTATAGTTTAAACATAACTTGTAGTCTGCACTGGGAAACCAAAAAATTCATTTAATTCATATTAGTGCAATATTTGCTTTATTGTGCTGGTCTGGAACTGAGCCCATGATATCCCCAAGGCTGTATATGTGTTGTTCCTATTTGTGGTTTGTCTATATCTTTCATTTCTTGTCTCTTTTGATGAACAAAACTTCATAATTTTACCAGTTTATCAGCCTATTTATTTTTTGCACTTTTGATGTGTTGCTTAAGAAATTCTTCCTCTCTCCAGTGTCAAAAGATGTTATTTTATATTTTCTTCTAAAAGTGTTATAATTTTGGGGCGCCTGGGTGGCTCAGTTGGTTAAGCGACTGCCTTCAACTCAGGTCATGATCCCAGGGTCCTGGGATCAAGCCCCGCATCGGGCTCCCTGCTCCGTGGGGAGCCTGCTTCTCCCTCCCCCTCTGCCTGCCGCTCCCTCTGCTTGTGCTCTCTCTCTCTCTGCGTCAAATAAATAAAATCTTTAAAAAAAATAAATAAAAGTGTTATAATTTTACTTTTTACATTTAAGTCACTAGGAATCAATTTTTTTAAAGATCTTATTTATTTAGTTGAGAGAGAGAGAGAGTGAAAGAGAAGAAGACTCCCTGCTGAGCAGAGAGCCCAATGTGGGGCTCGGTCCCAGGACCCTGAGATCATGACTGGAACCGAAGGCAGACGCTTGACTGACTGAGCCACCCAGGCACCCCAGGAATCAATTTTTGTAAGTGGATTAATATAGGAGTTCAATTTCTTTTTTTGTTAATATGCATAACCAGTTATCACAACATTATTTAATAGTTCATATTTCCCCACTAATCTGCAATCCCAGATCTCCCCTAGTTACATTTCCTTTAGGCCTGGGATCAATTCTCTATTCAATTTCTTGGTCTATTCATCCATGCCCTACTGTTTTAATTACTATAGTTTTGTAATAACTCTGGTAGGACAAGTTTCTACCTTGTTCTTCAACAGTGTCTTGGCTGTTCCTGGGACTCTTGGTTCTTCTACATGGATTTTAGAACTAGCTTGTCAAGTTTTACACACACATATACACAAGGTGGAGGTTCTAGTAGGATTTCAATAAGTCTATAAGACAATTTAGAGAGAATTAACATCTTTATACATTGAGTATTCTTATCCATTAACAAAATTAAATTTTAGATTTTTTAAAAAGATTTTATTTATTTATTTATTTGACAGAGAGAGAGCAAGAGTGGGAGCACAAGCAGGGGGAGTGGGAGAGGGAGAAGCAGGCTTCCTGCCGAGCAGGAAGCCCAATGTGGAGCTAGATTTTTTTTTTTTTTTTAATTTTTTATTTATGGGGTGCCTGGGTAGCTCAGTCTTTAAGCGTCTGCCTTCAGCTCAGGTCATGATCCCAGAGTCCTGGGATCGAGCCCCGCATTAGGCTCGCTGCTCAGCGGGAAGCCTGCTTCTCCCTCTCCCACTCCCCCTGCTTGTGTTCCCTCTCTCGCTGTGTCTCTTTCTGTCAAATAAATAAATAAAATCTTAAAAAAAATTTTTTTTTTAAATTTATGTAATCTCTAAA